AAAATGTAATGGTTTTATTTATTTTATTTTAAATTAATCGAAACGTCAAAGAAACTGCTGATATTAGCTATGAAGTATGAAGAAAAATTAAACAATGTACAGGGTGTTCGATTTGAAAATATAAAAAGATTCCGCAAAATGGTTAAACAAGCAAAAATAGAAACAGCAGTAAAGTAGTAAAATCGTATAAGGAAACAATATTAAAGTTTGAAATCAGTATTCCAACACACGATAACATTAAAAATAGAACATTCCCGAGCGACAACCAAAGAGGTGGGTAAAACGCCCAGAAGCAGGACATGGAGGTGCTGGTGTACTCTTCGATGTCGTGCGGTGAGTCAGTTCAGCCGATGGCTGTCGTACCGAGCGTTTTGGAGTTCGAAGTTGCGCAAAATGTACGGTTTTTTGGCGGTGTGGTTTTTCTGAAACAACTTTCGCGAGTGTGAAACTTTGTTGCCGACGGTTGGAGCGACGATTTTGACTTTCTTTTTAAATATAAACTTCCAGTTCGAGTTATTTTGATAATGTATAGAGGACGTGTAGTAAACGAATTTTCCAAAATTTTGATAACAAAAGTATAAAACGGGCATGCGTGGTGGAAAGTTTATTTGGTTTGTAAAACCAACTGCGTATAAAAAAATTCTTAAGTGTATTTAAAAGAGGAGAAAATGACATAATGTTTTACATGTGTATATGAAATATGTTAAATAAACCTTTCTGAGAAAATGGAGCGATGGTATTAATGCCGCAATTTATTAGTCGGTCGCGTTTGCCGCGTAAATAATTATTGTCAAAGTCGAACAGACTTAAATCATGGTGCCCCGCCGGCCGCTCCTATATTTGGTAGCGCTGGTAGGCGCGATTCGATGCACCACTTGGGATGGAACAGCGCCTTGGTTTTCAGGATCTCGTAAGTATTTAAATGAAACGGTATCGGTATCCACTAATTGGCATTTCAAGAACCCGTCGCATTGTCCGCGAACGCTAATGAGACCGCAAAGTGCTTCACAATGTGGCGGCGAGTTCAAAAAATAGGGTTCTTATAGGACCATTAGACTGGGCCAAAAAAATGGACAATTTTGAATTTTAAAGAATCTGATGAATAATGAATGATATAATAAAAGTTTTCAGAAAGACGAAAAAAAGTATCGTGAAATTTTGAGCACAATGAGAAGAGGTTTTATTATTTTCGTTTTTTTTTATATCTGATCTCATTATTGCGTTAAAATAGTCAAACGATTAATGTAAAAATATTTATCTGAATATACAGGAAGACCGCAAATAACAAATCATATAGGGGGTGAAATGCCCTGTAATTTGGCAGTTTTTCGTATAGTAACTTATCCGTCACTAAAATAAAATTAAATGGTTTAGTATGTAATATGTAAGATCGTCACTATGGATTTAAAAAAATTAATCTTGTTAGGGACAATTTAGCTGGATAACGGTTATTAAAGGTATTAATTAAAAACCGATTATAACAATGAACAAAACTCTTACATGCATCCTCCCCCCAAATTATTTTTCCGTTTTTATTGTTTTAAAAATGGATATTACAAGGAAGAAAAGTTATAAATAAAAAGCATAATGCTTATTTTTCAAACAATTTATTGGGGACGTTAGGATCCGAAACAAACGAGGATTTTATTTGTTCTAAGTTAAATCAAAAAACTTATCAATGTTTAGGGTTATTTTCTTTTTTTTATTCTGAATGATTTTATCGACATATTTTTCATAACACAAAAAACTCGATTTTTTTACCACTCCAAGGACCATACGAACAGAGAGACGGCATTTCAACGATTTTAATTGGTCCGTTTGGAGAAATCTATAAGTATGTTCGCGTTTTAATTGCGGCATAAATAAAACATCGACCCCAGCCGGACTCGGTCCACGTCAAAGAACTAAAAACGGACATTTTAATAACTTTATCGGGAATATAAATCTATACTTCGATACCGTACGGTTCGAACCAGGTAAATGGCTTCTATAATAATTGCCTATCGCGGCATTATGTACTTATTTTCTTTTCGAATTGCACGGAAACAAGTTCTGTATAGTTGCCATTAAACGCTCATTAAATTTATCTCGAAAATAAACTGGTGAGAAACAAAATTTGTGGACAGGTTTTAGAGGTTTTTATTTGTAAAAGCAATTCGCAATTCTAAAAGCAGATAAAGAAAATGCTACGGTGGTCATGAATACGACGGAAAATTGCTCGTCTCTACGGACTCCCTAAGATTCACAAACCGGAATTACCCCTTCAACCTATTGTTATCTTCTATGTTGAAACGTTTTACAGGGAAGACTGTTAGTTTCGTAATTAATTCCTTTCACTTCATTAAACAATTAAAAACGATTACATTAGATCCAAACGATATTCCGGTTAGTTTAGACATAGAATCCCTCTTTACCAAAGTCCCTATTACTGACACTCTGAACACTATTTCAGATGTAATAAAATCCGAGAATCTGGAACTAAACCTTTTGATCTTAACTGAAAAATGCTTGTTTTGGAACATATTTTTCTTGTAACAGTAAAATTTATGAACAAACGTCAGACACAGCTATTGGCTCCCCATTACTATCAGCGATCGTGAATATATTTATGGAAACTTTTGAGACACAATCCATCCAAAACTAAAATTATGGAATCGCTACCTTGATGATATTTGTGTTATTTGGTTCATGATTAAGAATATCCCTCTAAAATTTTCTTGGTCATTTAAACTCTATCCACCCTAATATATGTTTCACCGATCACTATCTCAAAACACAAAACTGTCTCAACCCAAGTTACTGAAACCAGAATTAAAACACTGTATATCTGCTCTTCTCTCCAATATCACAAATTGCACTTCACAACTTTCCAAAGAAAATGAGTCCGAAAGCAACACCACTTCCAAACATCACATATCAAAATTTCTATATAACGTTAAAACCAGATTTACAACTTGTCCAAAAACCTCTCATAATCCTCGATTCTTCAAAGACAAAATTAGATGATACCAGGAGATTATAGCATTCCATGTATATGCAGCAAAGAATGCATTAGAGAAAGAGTACGAAAAATATCAACTAGGCTAAAAGAACATTACATACATTAGCCTTAAGACTATGAAACCGGATATCAAACCTTATTCGGTAAAACTATAATTCTTGCATGGAATCAATCCTACTGCCCAAGAAAAATCCGAGAAACCATAGAAATCTCTACGTCCACACAATATAGGAACCAGAAGATTTGTAAATAGGTCTAGTAATAGTAACAAGACTTAATTAGCACCAATAGCGAAAACAATACAAATAGAATTGGTACAAAATCTTCTCGGTCTTATAATCGTAACGCATATAGTATTAAATATATTTATTTGAACGCCCACTTTTAATGAAATTTTTATTAAAGAGTTAAGGACGGCAATTCTTGTTAATGATAATTTAATAACAAAATGACTATGTAACTTAAATATGTTGTGTGTATTAAGTAATTCTGAAATTTGTAATATCTAACCAAAAATCATAATCATGATCATAAGCCAGATTTTTCGTATTGACAATATATTATCAATGCAAATTTTGAGGAGGCTCCGGAAGAGATTAAGATTGGGAGACATATGATTATTCAAATTGTTTCTTTCGAGGATTGAAATGAAACTTTATTAAGCTATTTAGCTATTTTGGCTAACAAAATCTCTTATTCAACAATTTGTGGGTGTTGGACCACTAATCTTTGCGGCTTTTCCGTTATCAGATCTGTTCTGCGTCAAACTAAATTTTTTGCGACTAGAAATCCTAAAATCTCTAAAGAACTAGGATGTGGACAACATCATTTTTTCTATCTTGTTTGTCATATTCTTCAATCGTTACTATTATTACTATTATATGCTTTTCAAATAATAAATAGATTTTTGACATCTTTGAAGTTTTTAAAGATAAAAAAATGGATTTAGTGGGGCATTGATTTGACACTTTTTTTAATTAATTTTTTTAATTTTAACAAGTTTAAATTTCATCCTTAAACATACTATACACACTCGGCCGGCGACTGCGATTTTATATATATTTTTGAAATTTCAATGCTTTAAGGGTCTTAATGCTATTTGAGGATTGTCCTCAATCCTGTTGAACGTCTCTTATAATCATAATTTGCTGTTAGATTTCTATATATGTTAGAAAACAATTTCCGATACGGTGGAGGATACTGTCTTTCGTTCTCCCGTATAGCAGCAGAGGTGTTACTACTGCATTAACAGTAAATAAAATTAATAGCTGATATTTCTGCAAACACACTCCACACTACTTCAAATTAAAAAAATAACTTTAGGGTCAACGCGAAGAAAAACAAATGTCAAACTGACAACAAAATATCAACTATCAATTCTGTTTCGACGCCTACTTTTCAATTATTAATGATTAAATAAGGGTGGCATGTGAAACAGGGTCTTTTTGAAATTCGTTTTCATCGAAAACCGTTCTTCCTAACGATATCAATGAAGCGTACCTTCTTCTTTTAACAGAACAAAATTCTTCGATTTTACAAGTAAAGAGTCTATTGCAGTTTTTGTTACCTTTAAAAGGCTAAAATTTCAAATCTTGCTCCCAACCTGTTTCGAAAATATTAATAAAAAACAATGTCGAAACAATTGTCATGTCAAAATATATAATTTCGTGAAAATCTGAACTTTTAGTTCTTATTTATTTTTATTTTCATGTCCATTTCTTTAGGTCCTGTGGCTCTGTTAGGTGGCGTATCTCAACATATGTTACTGATTTCGGCACAGCTTGTATTTGCGCCTACTCCTGTACATCATTTTTAGAATAAATGTGTCACAATAAGAGTTAAAATTATTGAAATTTGAAGAAGATGAGAATTTTGTAATTGAAGCCTTAAGAACTTGTAAAGATATCAAATACCACTTGAATTTGAACATTGTGCCTTAAGCACGTGTGTAGGAAAAATAAAAGAAAATTGTACAAAACCACTGCCATCTTCATTCCAGAATGCTACTGCAACGGCTTCTCGAATCGATGCATGTTTGACCAGAAACTCTACGAGCAAACGGGTCACGGTGGCCACTGTCTGGACTGTACGGCGAATAGAGACGGTCCCAATTGCGAACGATGTAAACCCAACTACTACATGCGAGAGGATGGTTTGTGTACCGCATGTAATTGCAATGAGGTCGGATCCAGGAACCTCCAGTGCAACGGCGAAGGCAAATGCCAGTGCAAACCCGGCGTAGTCGGAGACAAATGCGACAAGTGTGCCCTGAATCACTACGATTTTTCCATGCAAGGCTGCAAGAGTTGCAACTGTTTGGATGCCGGCTCTGCGTACAATCAGCCTAGTTGCGATCCCCGTTCAGGAGTGTGCTACTGCAAAGAGAACGTTGAAGGTAAACAGTGTCGCGACTGCAAGCCCGGCTTCTTCAATCTCGATACGGATAACGAGTTCGGATGTACGCCGTGTTTTTGTTACGGTCACTCCTCGCAGTGCAAGTCGGCACCAGGATACTTTAGGTATCACATCGAGTCGACGTTCTCAAAAAACTCGGAAAGATGGCGAGCTGAAGACGAGTACGGTTAGTATTGCAGCCTTTGGTTAAAAAAACACTTCCAAATTAATATTTTCCCCAGTTCAAGGTTTTATTATTGCTGTTATAAAATTTGTTAAACGTCCGATAAATGCCAAAATACATTCAGTTTTATAATATTGCATCCGAAATGGTTCGGTTACTTTATCCATAAAACTTTTTGAAGAAAAGAAAAAAATCAACATAAATATAGGGCGTCTCATTTAAAAATCTAAAGTAAATACTCAAATTCCGGGCACGCTGCATATATGAAACTGCTATATTCTATAATCTATAAAACCTTGGGTAGAGAGCAAAAATCATTTATTTGCACGCGGTTTGACAGAATATTCAATGATTGCCCAGGATTTCGCACGATTGCTAGGGATTTTGCATAATTTGACATGATTCTACAGTTAAATAATTTTAATTATCAAGGCACCCAAATTTAACTTATATGGTCGGAGTAGAAGTGAGAAAAGAGGGACAACTTTAAAATATTTATCATTGTTATCATAATTAAAAGATTTATTCGAGTATTATACAAGAAAAAATTAAACATTACGCACAGCAATAATGAAACAGGTTGAGGCAAATGAGAAGTTGTGACTGAAAAATAAAACTTGGAGCAGTCTAAAACTCTAATAAATAAATGTTCGAAAGGTTAAAAAAGGTTTTTTTCTAATTAATCGATCGGGGACTTTCTGACATAATCTCGCAAAAAATATTTTCTGAAATTAATTCGATACTCAAATAAGAGCCCAATGACTCAATGAAAACCGCAGCTCAATATCTTTATTCTAAGCTAAAATAAACTTTGACGGTTAATAATATCCATTGTTCCCACTTTCTTTTATTTTTATAGTTATTTTTATTTTTATCTAATTCATAGTAAGCATTAGATTTAACTTCACAAATACTGCATAGTAATATCGTCCTTGACTTCAACATCAATATCAAAACTCGCTTCAATACTGCCTTAATGAGGTATACACGTTTTTTATTCTTTCGCAATTTGAGTTGATTAAGTTCTGAAGTTTTTGATGTAATTTTTTATCAAAAATTTGTACATTCAGTAAGTATTAATGAAGAATTTTTTAAACCTTTACTATATATAAGTTTAACTATTTTTAACCTTAAACGTCGTCAGAAAGGTTGGGATACGATATGGAAAAACTGGTTGTCATTGTAATAAACAGATTTTAATGTCGTTACTAACAGTTGCGTTTGTTTGCGCAATGATTTCGTATGATTGGTACTTGTTGCGCGAAGTGTTTAACCACCAGATGGGTAGTTTTATGTGAAACAGTTTCCAAAACTAACTAACTAAAACGAAATTAAAACAGTTTACAAGAGCCATAACAATAAAAATGTATAATATTGATATGGATAGGTTTTTGAAAATCGATTTCCTATGGTTGACGTTTGAAAAATTTTAGTGCCCTTCTCAGGACTCTAAACGACAACACATATATTGAAAATCGTGTTCAACTATTTGGATTTTCAATATCTGTTAGTTCTTTTATTTAAGGAAGTTTTTTAAAGCTTGTTTACTTAAAATTGAACCTTTATCAGGGCTTTCCAGAACATGTATCTCTAGGGTCTTCAATTGGGATTACACAATTTTTTTCATTTATTTTCGAATTCTGTATCAAAATTCACCAATAATTAATGTAGAATACCATATCCATAGCTATCTCTTACTTACGCCACAGAATAAAAACAAAAATTTAATTTTGGAAGGAACAGGTAAGTACCTAATACCAGGAATGAATTCTTACAGTGTCATATCTGTCATTAAACAATGTGAATATGGCCCATTTAAATGGAACCGATACAATTGAAATTTTAATTTTTATTGGATATGGAGGCAAAACTAGAACTTATCAAGAAGCTTGTAATATTTTTAACGCAAAATGTGCAGGAAGACCCATTACAAGATTCAAAGTGAGTAAAATTGAGAGAAAATTTATAGCAACAGGGAATGTAAAAGATCGTCTACGGCCACGACTTTCAAAAACTAATTATAATACAAGATTAAATATTTTATTAGAAGGTGAGTATAATTCTCATCGTGCATCTTCTGATGTAGCTTCAAATAATGATGTTACCCAATGAACAGCTTTGCTTGTATTTAGTGATGAAGCAACGTTTGTAGGTTATGGGGTACACATAATCCCCGATGGGTAAGAGAAAATAATATACAATGTCCACAAAAAATAAATAATTGAGCAGGGATTTAGAATAACAAAATTATTGTGATCAAAATCGTACTCAGCCCGATATTTTCAATTTCTTCAAAATTACTTAATTCGTACTCTCACAGATTTTTCCCAATACCAAAGCGACAGATTTGGTGACAGGCAGGGGGATCAACGACTTGCAAGATCTCCAGATATTACTCCACTAGATTTTTGCCTCAAGGGTTATTTAAAATCAAAAGTGTGTAGATAAGACAAAAGGCAAACTGGATATCTGTTAATGACTCTCTCGGGGTATTTTTCGATAAACAAATCACAAATTTCTTCTTGAGCTCTCGTTTCATCTGCATATTCGATAAAAATTATAATTTCAATTCTGAGTTTCATTTACATGCGCCAATTCACTTTCTTTACTGTAATTATAATGTATGTAATTGTAACAATTTAAGTATGTTACAGGTACTAGCTACTTATCTATCCGTTTCAAAATTAAATTTCTGTTTTATGCGAGAAATTTGACGCAGAATTCGAAAATGGATTAAAAAAAAATTGTGTCCCATTAAAAAAAACTGGTATCGACATCTAGTTTTTGACCCACCCTGTATATTTTCTATTTATTGAAAAAAATGGTCAAGAAAAAGATATGATGGACGTGCCCGTATATTTTTCTTGAAATCTCAATATCGAAAGAGTTATTACTAATATACTCAGCTGACGCTTTTTGTGTTTACTAGGCTCGAATATCCCCATTAAATACGAAGGAATCAGTCAGAGCATAGGAGTGAAAGCCGGTGGCGATCAAGCCATTTATTTCGTAGCTCCAGATAGATTTTTGGGCGACCAGAGAAACTCGTATAACCAAATACTGGATTTCTCGCTGAGGATAGGCGATAGCCGGCCGATACCCACCGCGACGGACATTTTGTTGGAAGGTGCTGGCAGATCGATCACCAATACAATCTTCGCCCAAAAAAATAGAATACCAACGATCGAGGTAAGTCTTAACGGCGACATGGATAACATAAATCGAAAGATATATTCGACAGACGCAAAACTACAAATTCAGACTGCACGAGCATCCAGACTACGGTTGGCAGCCGAGGCTGACTTCGAGAGACTTTATCGCTCTTCTCACAAACCTCACGAGTATCAAAATTAAGGGGACCTACGCCCCGCGGGGAGTAGGCTTTCTGGATGACGTGACACTGGAGACGGCATCCAGAGGGATCGCGGGGAAACAAGCATTGTGGATAGAATCGTGCGATTGCCCTTCTGGTTACGTGGGTCAGTATTGCGAATCTTGCGCACCCGGATTTAGACATTCGCCCGCTTTGGGCGGACCGTTCATGAACTGTATTCCATGCGACTGCAACGGACATGCCACGATCTGCGACTCTGAGACTGGAAAGTGCATTTGCCAGCATAACACTGCTGGAGACAACTGCGAATTGTGCGCCAGAGGTTATTACGGAAATGCTCTCGCAGGTAGGTCATTTTCAATAAATTTACCGTATGTGAGAATAGTCTTTCAACTACTTTTCCTTCATTTTTGTTTTCCACAATTAACTGTAGTATGTTCTATTTTTCGTTTCTAAAGATGTGACCAAGTTATGCAGCTTTTCTTTTCTTTATTGGGACAATTATTTCTTATTCTCTATGCATACAGCAACATTGGCACACCATTTAATTTTACTTCCACTTCTTTACTTCACTTCTGCTTGATGGGTTGTTCATATTTAATATTTAAAACTAATTACTTGTGTTTGTCATACCGTTGGCATACTCTTCGAACTGCTACGCGTGTGATATCCAGTTGTCGAGCAACAGCCCGCTGTCGAAGTCCACTTTCATTAAAGCGATAACTTGAGCGGCTTTTTGCGGTGTATTTTGCATCAAGCTAACACAATTAAACTATCCAAATGGTTAAAAACGATTAATGCGAAAATCCCAGTTGCAAAGGCGATTAACTTAAGTCGATAACAAGTTTGTTACTATCACTATAACTACTGCATGTACACGTTTCATTTTTTTAACCGTAGCTACGCATATACATACAAATACAAATTTGAATTCATACTAAAGCATAGTAAATTGTCTTCCAAATAGCAAATTTATTTTTTGGATCAGATGAATAGTTTCCAGAAAAAAAAATGCTAAAGTCGAAAATTTACAGTGGGCCAATTTCTACGCACGCAGTACAAACCCACAGAACAGAAAACTAGGACGTAACCACTATAATTAATAAAGGTAGATTTTCATTAAACCTTTTCCCCGTAGGACCTTAACATTGTCACCATAATGAAATGATTTGTTTTGTACACATTTGAAATATCGTTCTTTTTAAAAATAACACTTGGTGTTATTTTTCAAATTTTCATTGTTGCATTTTAATCTTTTACCTTCTTCAAATTATTTGGACATATTTCAGGATACAATTCATTTTATTTATACTACGCCTTACCCTTTTGTTGTTTGGCTACCTTTCTCGTATAATTGCTTTTTCAATAACAACAGATATTTCCCAAAATTTTTCTTTATCGGTTTTAATTATACCCTTATCTTATAGACAATTGGAGTTCTTTGATCCTTTCTATCATATGGCAGTTTTACTTTATTTATTTGTTTTGAAAGAAATTTTTAGTTGCAAGTGTTTACTAGTAACTGGAAGTGGAGTTTTTGAGCTGGCGATGTAGTAAGGACTACCATAGGGGTGTTGTTATATTCTATGAATAAATCTCCAAAGTCATCATTTTCTTGATGACTTACTTATCCTTAAAATAGTTTTACCAATACTGACTGCCTTTTCAGCTAATCCATTGCTTTTATGGTAGTGGGGAGAGCAAGTGATGATAGTACATTCTTTTTCATTGTATTAATTTTTGCAACAATTCGAAATAAACGGTAAATTATCTGCTGTTATAAATTTTGGATAACCAAATCTGGTAAAAACTTCCTGAAAAGAATTATTGACTAATTGGGAGGTTTAATTTTTTGTTGAGCACATTCTTATTCGATGCTAAAAATGATTAATATCTAACTACTAAATAAAGTTTTTCTACTCCCGTCTGTAAAATGCCTAATTATACACCGATCTAGTGTGCGGAAACGTCACTTCGGACATTTCCGTGATTTTACCGCACGGGTTTGGGAGCAATCGGATGTTTCTTACGCCTTGAATTTTGACGTTTGTCAATTGTCAATATTTGTATTGTTTTTCGAAAATGTACCCAAAAACTAACGGTCTTTGAAAAAGTATAGTATGCAACACGTTCGGTAAACGTTTTAAGTCACTCGTTTATTAAACACTCGCTCCGCTGCGCTCGTATCAAATAAACTCGTGAGTAAAATGCCGTTTACTGCACTTGTTGCATAATATACTGTTATTAGCAAATTCCTGGAATGTCTACACATACTTTAAATCGAAAATGTGGGATAGAATGATTAGGCGAGAAAGAACCTATCTTTACGGTTTCCAGGCATATATTTGTAAGTATGTGTGTATATATGTTACATCATTGTATACATACATCTTGATAATAATGTTATATTTTCATTAATACATTATCTTTATTAATTTCTAATCTAAACTCATGTCGGCAAAATTGATGTTTTTTAGACAGGGACGTACTAAAGATTTAATGTGTATTTTGAGAGTTTTAATCTGAGACTGATTGATGAAATTTTACAAATACGTTTGTCTATTATTGAAGCCAACAGTGTGTTAAGACTGTAAATGATCCCTTTCAAAAATGATGAAACTTTTATGTGGTGAAATAAACTGATAAAAGTTCTTTTTCAGTTTTGTGAGCCTTCATAATGCGTGAAGCAGTAGCAGTTAATTTTAAACTTTTATTTTCATGTTCCTGAAACATTGAAGCTGCTCCATTTCAAGATACTTCGCATTCTAAAATTATTTTTTTCTTTACATCGAATAGCCTGCTGCCTTATGCCATAACTAAAAAAAGCAACACGAAATTTAACAAATGTATTTGTTAATTTAAAAATTACTTAGATAGTTATTTTTTGTTTTCAATTTATAAGAAAATCTTCGCAGAATTCCTTGTCAAAAGGATTGCTTTACTCAATTTTATAAAAACTACTACGCTTAAGGTGCCAATAAATTGGGCGTTCTATAATGTTATGTATATAAACTCTGTTTTTATATCCCTGTATGTTTTTGTAGTGGGAGTGGTTAAATGAATAAATGTGTACACCTCGGTGGTCCTAAATATATATATATATTTTAAAATGATTTATTAAAATTTGAATTTGAATTTTTATTTCAATTAAGGTACTACAAACGATTGTCTCGCTTGCGACTGCCCAAACGGTGGCGCCTGTATCCAGATAGAAGAGGACCTGGTGATGTGTACGGAATGTCCGATCGGCTACACGGGCCACAAGTGTGATTCGTGTTCCGACGGCTACTTCGGAGATCCCACTGGCAGGTTCGGCCAACCAAAATCCTGCGAGCCGTGCGATTGCAACGCTAATATTGACCTCAACGCCATTGGGAATTGCAACACCACCACTGGGGATTGTATCAAATGCATTCATTTTACGGGTGGCCCCAAATGCGACGTGTGCCTTCCTGGTTACTACGGCAACGCTTTGGTTTTGCCGAAAGGCGATTGCAAGAAGTGCCAGTGCTTCCCTCAGGGCACCGAAGATCGCGAAGGAGAACCGATTTGCGACCAAACTACTGGCGCTTGTAAGTGCAGGCGTCACGTGTCTGGTATCAATTGCGATCAATGCCTTCCCGGTTACTATAATATCGCTAGCGGCGAGGGATGTCACTCTTGCAATTGCGACCCTATTGGCGCCTACAATCAGAGCTGCGATTTGTACACGGGACAATGTTTCTGCAGACCAGGAGTCACAGGGTGAGCCCAAACTCTCAATGGATGCCCGAACTGTGTTAACAATTTTTATGTTCGGTGTTGAGAGTAAAAGAATTTCGAACCTTCATTATCTATAATCTAAGAAGACTAATGCGCTTATATGGTGCGCCGAAAATAAGCCTTTTAAGGTACAGGGTATTGAAATTCTTAGAAGAAGATATTAATTAATACTAAAATACTATTTACAAATCTTTTGGACTCCTCCTGCGTGTGTTGTTGATGAATCGAACTTCCTGACGCACGAGGAATCCAAAAGACTCGCAAATAGAAGTATAATTCTAACTTCTATATTCTAGACGTTGCCTTTACCTTTGAAGGATTTCTTCTTTTTCTTAACGTGGCATGTAAATTTCTGCGTAGCCAGCAGCTTGCAAGTATTGGAAGCCCGTTATCTCCGTCCAGTGACCGATATTGCTTAACCACGATAGCTTCTTTCTACCTATTTCTCTTTTTTCCTCTTATATTTTTCGTTGGAGGTTAAGAATCTGCAGGTGATAAAGTTCTCCGTGGATTTTACCATCCCGTATTAGGATCTAGGTCCAAGTTTCTATCTGTCAACAACCTACGAAATTTTTAAGCCTTTTCGTTTTTACATTTTGTTTGTTGATTCTGATCCCATGCTTTGTTGATTATGCATCCTATAGTACATAATATATACTATAATATATATAATAATAATATATAATATATACTTAAATTGTTCTACTTCTTGGATTTGGCCTCCAAAGGCGGTCTTCCCTATAATCAGCTTCAGGCTCATTTCTTGACTTGTATTATTAACCATAGGATCTGGAAATCATTAGCACTGCCTGCCAGTGCCACAGTATCATGAATGTTACTTTTTTTCTAAATCTTCTGTTGTTCCTACATAATGAATTCTAATCTCGACTTTCAAAACGAGCAATGCAATGCACACAATGGACTGAAACATTTTATAATCAAACTTAAGGATCCTGTCGATTACTTATCTAGAACAGGGATATACTATTTTAACTGCGAAGATTGCAATGCATCGGTAAGCTTGACAGGAAGATTTCCATTACTAACATGCAAGTTTGGTGAAAAAGTACAATGATGCGACAGAGTAAAAAAAACCTTGATCTCCTGAAGAAATTAGAAATCACCAAAGGCGGAGTCAGAGTCCTGCCTTTGATTGCCCTAATGACGTTTTTAATTTTTACAATCCAGCCTTGTTATGATTTTTTATGTCAATTGCTCTCTTTTTGTTTTTAATGCCTCGTTTAAATCAAACAGATTGGGTCTCATTCCAATTTGTGTCTGTGTGCATTTGAGTTGACGATTTTGTACGTGCATATATATCTAAATTTATGTCGAATATTTTATTATTTCATTCACCTCTGCCACCCGCAGAGGTGATCAAGTATTGCGCTTGAAGGAAAGCCAGTGGTCAAGTGACTACGGTCAAATAAAGATAAAACAAAAATAACATAAAGATAAAAATAAATCAACACTGCAGAGGCGAATTCAGAATTAACAGATCTCAAGATCTCACAAAAATAAAAAGAAGAATTTCTTTTTAGATCTGATGATACCGATATGAACGTGTATAAAACGTAAAATAGTTATAAATTTTAAGAGCTTTATTTTTTTGTATCCATATTATTCAAAATATTTTAGTTCGATAGAGCCGATTCAATTACTAAAATCATAAAACAAAACTCTTTCCGATATAACTCAACAAAAAAAAAAAACAAAAATCATCGATCACCGCAGACACAATAGTCTTCGAAATTGTTTAGTTTACACATGATAAATGACAGCGCAATCTGTGAAATAAAATTAAAAAAATAATAATATTAAAATTGCTTCACAAAAATCCCTAATTTCAGGTTACGGTGTGATCATTGCGAAGCCCGTAAGTATGGATTTTCAACTGACGGTTGCAGCGATTGCCAGTGCGACAAGATTGGGTCCAAGGAGCTGCAATGCGATTCCAATGGCCAGTGTCCTTGTTTAGATAACGTGGAGGGCAAAAAGTGTGACCGATGCAAAGAAAACAAGTACGATAGGCAAAGGGGTTGCGTGGACTGCCCGGACTGTTACAATCTGGTCCAGAATGCTGCCAGGGCCCACAACACTAAGATGGACAAACTAAACCAAATTCTGAACGAGATAGAACATCAGCCCACAGTAATAACGGATGAACAGTTCCCGGACGAGATGCAAAAATTGGAAACAGACGTTTCCGAATTTAACGACAAAGTAAAAATCGCCACCGGAGATCGCAGCGTATTTCAGGAGATCGTCGCCATCAGGGAAAGGGAGAAGGACATTTCCAGGACACTCTCGGAGCTAGATGAAAATGCGTTTGTCATCAACGACAAGTCCAAAAGGGCCGAGCAGAATCTGGATCATGCGGACGAATTGCTTTTGGAAGTTGAGGATAGATTGGACGAGGCTCAAGTCAACTTTGAAAGCCAAGGGAAAAAGGCTCTCCAGGAAGCGTGGGATCGCTCGAAAATCGTAGGTCAACAGTCGGAAAAGATGACCCAAATAGCGCACGAGGCGAGAGAACTCGCCGATCATCTGGATAAGAAATCAGAAGATATCGCGACTAGAGCCAAAGACGCGAAGAACAAGTCCGTCGAAGCTTATGAAAAAGTGAAAAGCGCGAACGTCATGCAGCAGAACCTCGAAATGGAGTCCCATAAGATGAACGCGGACGTGTTAGGTGCGGAAATCAAGCTGAATAAGACTAAAGTGTGGACTGAGCAAGTGAGCGGAGACGCGAGACAAGTAAAAGATGACGCGCTGGCTCTGCTTAACGAAGTCAACAACATCATAGTTCCACAAGTTGACGTACAAGCCTTGAGAAGGAAATCTAAAGATTTAAAGGACGAGGCTTTTAGACTGGGCAATAAAACAAATGAGTTGTTTGCTAAGAGCGAAGAGCTGAGGCAATCAGTGGACAACAAAAGTGACCTGAGCAAGGAGTTGTTGCAGCGGGCTAAAGAAGAACAAGACGAGATTAATGAGTTAAAGAACGATATCGAACTAAGCGACTTACAAGCCGAACAGACCATCACATTGTGGAATGGGATTCTAGCAACCGCCGAGAGTAACTTCAAGTTGTTGTCCGATTCAGACTCGCAAACTCAGAAGAGCAAGGAGGAAGCCGAAGACGCATTGAATACTATTCCTGAAATTGAAGGCATAATTCTCGAGACGAGCGACAACACTGTAGACGCGCAAAATACTTTGGACGACGCTCGGGGCAACGCAGACGTCGCCCTGGAGAAAGCCCTTCAAGCGGATGAACTGGCTAAAAACGCATCCAAGAACGCAGAAAGGATTAAAGAAGATGCCGAGGACCTCTACAGAAACACGACGTTCTTGAGCGACGAAGCAGGTTTGATGTACGACCGTGTCTTAAACACTGAAGGCGAACTGAAGAATCTTTTGGAAAAATCTAAGAGCAACGAGAGTTTAGTGAACGAAGCTAAGGAAAAGGTGGGCCGAGCTGGGAAAGATACCAGCGCCGCATCCAAACGCGTGACCGACTTGTTAGGAGACGTCGAAAGCATACTCTCGGAACTGCAGAACGCTCCAGATATCAGCGAAGAAGACATAAACAGGTTAGAAGAGGAGATTCGATTGGCGGAAGAGCGATTGCGCGAGAGTAGGCTCGAGGAACGTCTGGAGAGCCTCCAGAAGGAACACAAGGCCCAGAACGATTTGATCGAGCAATACAAAGATCAAATCGTTGCACTTGGGAGGGACGTGGATAACATTGAGCAAATCGCAAACGCTCTGCCAGACGGTTGCTACAAGAGGGTGGAACTTGAACCCTAGGAGTTGTGTGGCCGTAAATGTATTCAATTTTACCAAAGACTTTATATTGTTTTATATTAAAACCCACAAAACTAAATAGTTTTTTGTAATGTATGGTCTATAGGGGAGATTGCTTTGAGATTGGTTTGTTTTAATATGCAGTAAAGTTTTGAAAACCGAAAATTTTTCAATTTGTTATTGGTTACAGACCCTCCGATCCTTTATGCCTGCACGTCTTCCCCCTCTCCCCTAGACGAGCCCTGTTCTCTCGAATGTTCCAGTACTCCAGTACTATTAATCGGCTGCTCCCTAATGGTGTGCAAATATTTGCAGCTGGTTGGGAAAATAAATTGGAATTTCCTTTTTTTCACCCATTCCCCATGATATGGAGACAATCAATACCGCAAAATTTGTGTTATATGCAAATTTAAAAGCAGGTGTTAGAGTGGAACTAAGTGACGGCGAGTTTCGCTTGTAGCGAGGAGTTTAATATAGAGGCCGTTTTTCTTTCGCAGGAGTTTAATTCAGATATCTAAGAGGTATTAACACGCCAGTATGCATATAATTAGCAGTTTCTCAGCACGCGCAGGTGCATTCGCATTGATAAGTTCCGTTTACTAACTTCTTCGCAGTTTCAATGGTACATTTGCAGTCACATTCGCAATCACCGCATTTTTTGGTAGCGCTGCTGTTGCACGTACAAAGACACTCGCAGTCGACTTCTGTCCCATTTTCCAGCCGTAACTTGTACGGTTTCTTGATGATGCAACACGAAGATGCTGCGAATAAAATAATTCGATTAACCAACACCATTTTCATTTCAGAATCCTCCGGAGGTTACTCTACTATTTACAAATTTTCTGGATTAATCTTGCGATGGTTATTGATGAATTGAATATTCTGACGTTTCGCCAATCATCTTAGGTATTCTTATTAATAGAAAATCGGACCTACCATTGGGTCACTCGATTTACAGAAAAGTCATCGGTTAGTTTCTTGTTTCGTAAAACCTCAACCTCGACCCGAATTACTGGACCCAGAATTAAATCACGGCTTTTCGCTGAAATAATTTCGACATTAAAGATATTTCAAAATACTCTTTACCACAATGCCCCTCAAGAAAATGAGTACTACAGCAACCCCATACTAGTCACTGTGGTCTTTCCTTACATTTAAAATATTACTGTCCACATATGTTATGAAATATAATCTTAAAACCTGATTTGCCTCAGCTTACAGCATTCCATGCATATGCGGCAAATACACTGGTGAAGCAGAGCATTAAATATCAATTTGGCTAAAACAGCACGAAAGAGCTTTAATACTGCAACAAATAAACTCACCAGCAATTGCCGCATATAATCTTTCATTTCAATTTTTGCATCTAGTCTATTCTTCTACGAAAGAACAATTAACGAATCCAGAAAAATCTCTAAACCAACAAACATTTTTAACCAGTCAGATCTTTACCTTTCACCAATTAGCCATCAAAGACAATGTATAAAAGAATAACAGTAACCATCAGTTTCAGTTGTCCTCTGAAGAAGCCAACATAATGTTTGACGAAACGTCAGCAAGTTCGATTCTGGAGCAATCCACAAAATTTGTAAATAGTACGGGTAACTACCGGAGTACATTTACCTGTATCGGCCATTCTCGGCGAACGTGGGTGGTTTGGCAGAGCGAAGGATACTGAGAGTGATGTGGGTGGTATAACCACCTTGACTGTATAACGGATTGATTTTGCACTCCGCTTAGTGTGGTGCCGGCCGCAAAATAATCGTTTTGTGCTGGTTGGAAAAGCAAAGTGTGGTTTGAAATTGTGAAATACTGAAACGATAACCCTTGGAGTTGAGTTGTTTGTTGTTAGTCAAATTGGATCCCTGCGATCTCGAGCACTATAGATGATTCGAGGATCGTTGAATTGGACCAAAGCTATGTAGTTTAGCCGCGCTGGATGCCAGAAATGTTGTATTCGGCTCGTATCTGTTATGGAAAAATTATAAATAGCAAAAATTTCAAAATTCAAAATTAAATTAACCCTGTTATATTATATTTTTCTCGAAAAATTCAGTATATGTGATGTATATCCTACACACCTAACTTTCTGACATATTTAACATTCTATGAAGATGAAAAATATTTGTAAATGTTTCCCATATGGAAACCTTTAAAATTTTACTATATTAACTTACTCTGTACCAATTGGTCTGTTGAGGAGAGTGAAAAAATAACATTTAAAATTGAAAAATTGTCGAAAATCATTTTTTCGGTTGGAAATCACTTTTTTTGTATTTATATTATTATTTAGTACTTTGTTATAGGTTGTATATTCCAAATATTTTTGGTTTTCGAGATATTTCCATTAATTTTTTTTTTGCTTGGTCGGACATTTGAGGCATTTAATCTACAAGGTGATTCATTGTTAATAACTGACGAAAAACAGGGCATGCGTTTGTTCTCAAAATTCGGTTGCTGCGGTTTTTGGACTTTTGGTCAATCTAAAAAGTTTTGAATGAATCATTTTTGATTTAGTTATGCAATTCCAAATGTAATTAAATTAAAACTAGTTTTATTTCCCAAAAAAAAAATCGGAGTAGACTTGACGGCTCCTACACTTTGCAAGTGTAAAAATGTCACCACAGCATTTTTTGGACTGACAATCACTTACCGACCCCAACAATGCATTTCATTTCATACGTTAGTGACATGTAAAATTATAATTTTTGAATAAATTCGAGCATTGAATGATCCTAATTTTGTGAGATCTGCTGTAAAATGTTGTTAAACCATAATATATCAAACGCAATTGCATTCGGCAACTGTGCTGTTTGTATCCGTTTGGGGATTCAAAATGCATCACCACCGTAAAATCTGTTTTTCAAAAACTTGTCGCCCAAATAATCAATTTTATAATTATATTTATATTTTGACGTTGAAATAAAAAAGGAAAGAACAGAGACTTTCATTCAATATCATAGCTCCGGCTTTAAGCAAAACTTCGAAAAAACTGGATGGACCGTAAATGTGAGAAATTAAGAAAATGTTTAAAAAAACACTCAGTTCATCTCTACTGTTTATTGCGAGGTATTATTAACGAGTTCCCTACACCATAGAAAAATGAATACAAACAGAATAAGTAAAATAAATTTCCTGTAGATTTCTAACTAACTAACTACTTATATAATAAGCTTCTAATCTGCTTTTTCGGTCTTCAAACAGCATTTACAGTCTTTGGATCCTTCTTGGCAGCAACAGGATTCTGAAGTACAGCATTTGCAGGAACATTTAGAATCCTTGCAACCTTTGGTACATTTGCAGTCTGTGCAATTGCACTTTTCATTGTCTTTACAGCAGGAACCCTCAATACAACATTTGCTGTCGCACTTGGAATCTTTGCAACATTTCGATTCTTTTGAGCAGCATTTGCAATCTTTGCAGTCGCACTTGGTTCCATCTTGGCAGCAACAGGATTCTGAAGTACAGCATTTGCAGGAACATTTAGAATCCTTGCAACCTTTGGTACATTTGCAGTCTACGCAATTGCATTTTTCATCATCTTTGCAGCATGAACCCTCAATACAACACTTGCTGTCGCATTTGGAATCCTTGCAACATTTCGATTCTTTTGAGCAGCATTTGCAGTCCTTGCAATCGCACTTGGATGCTTCTTGGCAGCAACAGGATTCTGAAGTACAGCATTTGCAGGAACATTTAGAATCCTTGCAACCTTTGGTACATTTGCAGTCTGTGCAATTGCACTTTTCATTGTCTTTGCAGCAGGAACCCTCAATACAACATTTGCTGTCGCACTTGGAGTCTTTGCAACATTTCGATTCTTTTGAGCAGCATTTGCAGTCCTTGCAATCGCACTTGGATCCTTCTTGGCAGCAACAGGATTCTGAAGTACAGCATTTGCAGGAACATGTAGAATCATTGCAACCTTTGGTACATTTGCAGTCTGCGCAATTGCACTTTTCATTGTCTTTGCAGCAGGAACCATCAATACAACATTTGCTGTCGCACTTGGAATCGTTGCAACATTTCGATTCTTTTGAGCAGGATTGGCAGTCCTCGCAGTCACACTTGGATTCGTTTTGGCAGCAGCAGGACTCTGAAGTAGAACATTTGCACAAACATTTAGAATCCTTGCACCCTTTGGAACATTTGCAGTCTATGCAATTGCATTTTTCATTTCCTTTGCAGCAGGAACCCTCAATACAACATTTGCTGTCGCACTTGGAGTCTTTGCAACATTTAGATTCTTTTGAGCAGCATTTGCAGTCCTTGCAATCGCACTTGGATCCTTCTTGGCAGCACCAGGATTCTGAAGTACAGCATTTGCAGGAACATTTAGAATCCTTGCAACCTTTGGTACATTTGCAGTCTGTGCAATTGCACTTTTCATTGTCTTTGCAGCAGGAACCCTCAATACAACATTTGCTGTCGCACTTGGAATCTTTGCAACATTTTGATTCTTTTGAGCAGCATTTGCAATCTTTGCAGTCGCACTTGGTTCCATCTTGGCAGCAACAGGATTCTGAAGTACAGCATTTGCAGGAACATTTAGAATCCTTGCAACCTTTGGTACATTTGCAGTGTACGCAATTGCATTTTTCATTATCTTTGCAGCAGGAACCCTCAATACAACACTTGCTGTCGCATTTGGAATCTTTGCAACATTTAGATTCTTTTGAGCAGCATTTGCAGTCCTTGCAATCGCACTTGGATCCTTCTTGGCAGCAACAGGATTCTGAAGTACAGCATTTGCAAGAACATGTAGAATCATTGCAACCTTTGGTACATTTGCAGTCTGTGCAATTGCACTTTTCATTGTCTTTGCAGCAGGAATCCTCAATACAACATTGGCTGTCGCACTTGGAGTCTTTGCAACATTTCGATTCTTTTGAGCAGCATTTGCAGTCCTTGCAATCGCACTTGGATCCTTCTTGGCAGCAACAGGATTCTGAAGTACAGCATTTGCAGGAACATGTAGAATCATTGCAACCTTTGGTACATTTGCAGTCTGCGCAATTGCACTTTTCATTGTCTTTGCAGCAGGAACCCTCAATACAACATTTGCTGTCGCACTTGGAATCGTTGCAACATTTCGATTCTTTTGAGCAGCATTTGCAGTTCTTGCAATCGCACTTGGATCCTGCTTGACAGCAACAGGATTCTGAAGTACAGCATTTGCAGGAACATTTAGAATCCTTGCACCCTTTAGAACATTTGCAGTCTACGCAATTGCATTTTTCATCATCTTTGCAGCAGGAACCCTCAATACAACACTTGCTGTCGCATTTCGAATCTTTGCAACATTTCGATTCTTTTGAGCAGCATTTGCAGTCCTTGCAATCGCACTTGGATCCTTCTTGGCAGCAACAGGATTCTGAAGTACAGCATTTGCAAGAACATGTAGAATCATTGCAACCTTTGGTACATTTGCAGTCTGTGCAATTGCACTTTTCATTGTCTTTGCAGCAGGAACCCTCAATACAACATTTGCTGTCGCACTTGGAATCGTTGCAACATTTCGATTCTTTTGAGCAGCATTTGCAGTTCTTGCAATCGCACTTGGATCCTGCTTGACAGCAACAGGATTCTGAAGTACAGCATTTGCAGGAACATTTAGAATCCTTGCAACCTTTGGAACATTTGCAGTCTGCGCAATTGCACTTTTCATTGTCTTTGCAGCAGGAACCCTCAATACAACATTTGCTGTCGCACTTGGAATCGTTGCAACATTTCGATTCTTTTGAGCAGCATTTGCAGTTCTTGCAATCGCACTTGGATCCTGCTTGACAGCAACAGGATTCTGAAGTACAGCATTTGCAGGAACATTTAGAATCCTTGCACCCTTTAGAACATTTGCAGTCTACGCAATTGCATTTTTCATCATCTTTGCAGCAGGAACCCTCAATACAACACTTGCTGTCGCATTTTGAATCTTTGCAACATTTCGATTCTTTTGAGCAGCATTTGCAGTCCTTGCAATCGCACTTGGATCCTTCTTGGCAGCAACAGGATTCTGAAGTACAGCATTTGCAGGAACATTTACAATCCTTGTACCCTTTGGAACATTTGCAGTCTACGCAATTGCATTTTGCATCATCTTTGCAGCAGGAACCCTCAATACAACACTTGCTGTCGCATTTGGAATCGTTGCAACATTTCGATTCTTTTGAGCAGCATTTGCAGTCCTTGCAATCGCACTTGGATCCTTCTTGGCAGCAACAGGATTCTGAAGTACAGCATTTGCAGGAACATTTTGAATCCTTGCAACCTTTGGAACATTTGCAGTCTGCGCAATTGCATTCTTCATTATCATTGCAGCAGGAACCATCAATACAACATTTACTGTCGCACTCGGAATCTTTGCAACATCTCGATTCCGTTGAGCAGCATTTGCAGTTCTTGCAGTCGCACCTCGATCCATCTTGGCAGCAGCAGGAGTCTAAAGTACAGCATTTGCAGGTACAGTTGCAAGCGAAGTTCTGTCGTTTTGTTTCCAAATTTCCTACAATATAATGTTATTATTTTTAATCAGGTTTTTGCGGTAATTGGTAGATTAAATGTCCGATTTAATAACTATGTTAAACTATGTAAAATTCAAGTTCATTATTTAAAAATGTAATTTTATCTTAATTAATATTGAAAAAACTGTTTTTTAGGTGCTCCAACTAATGTCTGTTAATACTATAATGTGAACTAGCCTCAAATATTGCAATATAGTTACAAAACGAAATAGTTATAAAATGAAATATAATTATTAATTAGCAAACATTTCTACAAAACCCTAATAGGCGTCGCTATCGGAGAATAAACATATTACTTAAAATTTAATTTGATTAATGTGAAAGTCAATTTTGTCCTGCAGAAATGTAGTTTTTATTAATTAATTATTAATATTTTAATAAATTTTAATTTTAATAATTAAGATATCCCTAATTTTTTATTCGACTAGTAAGACTATTCCAAATCTTTATTTAAAATGCTGACGTTCTACAACGAGAAGTTGGGACCTGTCGTTTAGATAAACTGGATTGTCTGATTTTATAAGTCTAGAAACAAACATTTGCATATGCATTTTTCTCAGGCTGGTTATATGGAAATTACTTAAAAAAGGATATAAATGACTACGGGAAAGTAGATTGAAAAAAGAATACAGGACTTCTGTAATTTTTGAATTTATTTTTAGTTTACCAAGATAAACAATCTCCGTAAACCACACCTGCGTAATCAAACAATGAGAGAACTAAAGTGTTGTAAAATATTTTTGAGTTGGATTTAGAACAACCTGATTAATGAATTTAACTTCGGAAGTTTGTACCAAAAAGTTGGTTGTTCTACTACCTGTTCGAATATCCTTCACGAGACTTAAAGAATTATTTGAGAATCCAAAATACCTCCATTTTGCAAATAGTAAATTGTGACTTATAGAATAAAATCAAGCATAAAATGAAGCATCGTCATATATTCCCTGTACCTAATTGTGCCTTATATCATATACCATGCTAACTAGTGCTGTAGTTGTGCTAAAATGTTTTCTGAATTTCGGCAAGTTCAGTAATTTGCTTACACATGTGTTTTTCGAATATTTTAGAAACAGCTAGTAGTATTCTCACACAAAATTGTTCAGTTCTTTGTGGTCTGGCACCTTGGCGATAGGTTTAGTGATGCAGAGATATCTCTCGAATTAAGAGTTTTCCAACTGCATTTGAAGTCATGCTAGTAATTATTTTTTCAAGAGCGGTTTGATAATTAGCTGACTGATATTTTGTTTTTTCTCATATTACTCTTTTAAAAGGTGGTATCTGGTAAGTGATCGGTTTCTTGAAAAAAATTCTGGATTTCTACGCACTTTCGTAGCTCTTCTGGCATCGCAAAGCGATTTTCATTTTTAGAAATAATTAATTAATTAGCAGTGCTTAAGAATTTCTGACCTTGTTTGTGATAATAATAATAGCATTTTTCCAATAGGTAACATGACCCAATTACAGAAAATTTTGAATATATATCATACGATATAACTGAAAAAAGAAATAAAGAAGAAGAAAGAAAAGGATAAGACTTGTCAGTACGGATAACCCGACGCAATCGAAGTGAACTAAATATCGCCTGGAGATCATCATAATATAAATCACAGTGCGATGATAATTTGTTTAAGGTAACAGACAGATTGTAAGTAAGGTTTTGAAAATGGATATTGCGTCTGGGTAAGAAAGTTGAATGATGTCTCCCTCCCAGCTGAGGCACATGAAAACGTAATTGTTCCAGAAGAAACGGAAAACCGATTCCGTAATGAAATGATGCAGAAAATGTATTAAAGTAATTTATTTTTCCTTAACTATTGTATAGTATATAAGATCATATTAGAAGTATATCAGAAAAACGGGGCACCTAATAATAAGCCTAACAAAAAACACAACCTTAGATTAAATATCAAAATTTTACTTAAAAACCCTATCTAGACAATTTTTCTTGTTTTCGTTAAGGTAACGCATAACCTTCTAAGGGTGTGTAAAATTGCAAAATTTTCAAGATCGCCCTGTGTCTAAAATTCCAAGATAGCTAAGACGTTTCGGTCTGCTACACCTTTAGATTTCAAAAAGAAGCAGCCCTGGGTCACGAGCATTTCAACACAGCTAGTTCTATTAATACATGAGGTACAACATAAAACTATAAACGGTGGGACACCTGTCCAATTACAGTTGGCAAGTATGACGCACTGTATGCCCAATCATATCTATCGACAACATTCACCTGCCCACAAACAATGCAATCAAGAAAAGAAGATCAGGAAGCTAATTTAAAAACAAAATTTCAAGTAAATATAAACTTTTTAACCAGTCATTTTTGCAATTAATAAATTTGGTTAAATAGTAATAAATCCGCCTGGACTGTTTAAGCCCGGAGCCTTCATCAAAACGAGACCCGTGACTGCATATATCCGTATTAATCCAGCAACGAAAATCTTATCGAAACGTTTAGGCAAACCGCAAAACACACTTACCCGCCATTTCGTTGATTTCGGTTTCAAATTGTTTCTCCTTTTCTATCTTGCATCTATCTCACTTGTTTCTCTGATCAAGTTAACTGAATACCTTTGGTTTCTGTTCAAATGAGGATTAAATACGCGCCAATCGTCGTGCTGTGCGGAGCCTCGTGGTGCCGTGTGTACCGAATTGCGCACGGCACTACATTTCCCGTTGAATAGGTAGAAACGCGTGTCGTGCGCAGATAAAATAATACCATCTAGTTTCTGCTGTACAATTCACTTGAATTAAATTTATTTCATTATGTTGGGTGAATTGCGGGAGCTCAAATTAATTTGGTTCATTTAAACGACAAATAATTTGGTTCAAATCATGTCTAAAGCGAACCCGAGTGATCCTGATTGATTGGTGTGTCAATCTTTGGACTCATTATATGACAAACACTCCTTATAAAAGTATGTCCCATTTCATGGGGTTGATGAATATAATAAAACACATTTGCTCGGTATGTCTTCTATTACACCAGTCAAAATACGTAGAATATAGAATAAAGACGCGATCTTCATAAGGTGGTATTACATTTTATAAAAGCACATTTGCATTAAACAATAGTATTTTCATTGTGCCATTGTATCATTCATATGACAAATTATTTGCTACATATTTCAGAATACAATTCTTGCTTAAAAGTGTTCAATCGTAATTGAGGGTTTCATTTGATTTATATTACACGTAACACGTAAGACCTGAGCTCCTTCATTTTTTTTTAAATAACACTTTATGCCATATTTTAACTACAACCTTACCTGCTTTTTTATAGAATCTTGAAGTTTACTTTATTTATTTGTTCGGAGAGAGACTTAAATGTTTGGTTGCAATTGCAATTGTTTACTAGTAACTGGAAGTTGAGTTTTTGGTATTCGGTTTTGTAGTATTTGAGTTAGCGACGCATTAAGGACTATTATATGGGAGTTACTATATTTCATTAATAAATCTCTAAAATCAACATTTTCTTGATGAATTTTCGTTAAAATAGTTTCACCAATACTGACTGTCTTTTCAGCTAATCCGGTCTCTGATGCTAGGGGATGTCATTATAATAATTTCTTTTTCATTGTAATAGTTTTGACAGCAATTTGTTGTAAGGTAAATTATCTGCTATAATTAATTCTGGGTAGTCAAATCTAGTAAATATATCCTGAAAACAATTAATGCGATCAATGACTACTAAATAAAGTTTACTAGCAAATTCTAGAATGTCAGCACCTAGTTTATTAAATCAAAGTCCTGGGATAGAGTGAGGTAGAAGAGATTCTTTACTTCCTGCTTTCTGTACTTATTGTGTTATATCATTGGTTGAATTTTGCTAAAAAAATAGTGTTTTGGCTTTATTAATATTTCTATAATCCATAATATGAGACTTTTGGGCACAATTATTTTGTCTTCTGTAAATACTAAACCTGCTTCAACATTGAATATTTAAAAGGATAATAAATTTTGCATTTATTAATACGTTGCTTAGTTTTGGTTAGTATGTGTTGGTATTGGTTAGCTTCTCGTTGCGATATTACGAAGGTAAAAGTAGCAGATCTAGCAGACTCAGTACCATTATAGTCCATAGCCGAATAATTTTGCCCAGTGGCGACTAAATAATCTTCGTTTGCTTCGTTTTGCCCTGGTAGATCGACATCTGGAGGTAATTTCACTTGTCAGCTAAAATTTGCCATACTTAGGTTAATTTTACACTTAAATATTTTCGCAAACTTCGGCTGCCGTATTTATAGGTTAATTTTACACATAAATATTTTTGCAGACTTCCGCTGATCTAAACTATTCGGTTAATGACTTTGCCCACTTGAAAACAATATTTTTAATTTTCGGTTTAGTACTGATATTTGATCAATATATTAAAACACATTTACTCGGTACGGCTTCTATTATACAAGTACAAAACTATATAACAGAACAAAGACGCAATCACCATAATGTGGTTTTGAACTTTACGAAGGTGGATTTACATTTCAACTTGAAGTTTTCAGAAAAAAAAATATTTTTTTTGTGTAATCTTAGAAACGATTCTAGAAATCGTTGTGAAATTTGATAAACGCCGTGGTGCGCACTACTTTTTTAAAGTTTCTTCCAGTGCAGCCTGTGATGTGCATCGCATGTTTTCGATGAAAAAAACCTCTTGCCGTCACCGTACTTGGTCGATTAAAATAATTAATTTTCTTCTATTGCGAAATTCACGAAAAATCTCGAAGGGATTGTTCATAATTTGATTTCCAGCAACAATAATTCACCTTAGAAACTCTTCTGGACTATCTACATCGTTTACATATATAATACATATAATAATCTAGTGGGTTTTAGTCAGGCCACCGAGTTGTTCACTTTACTGGGTCACCTCAACCTATCTACTTCTATACAAAATCTTTATTTATCCAGTTTCTTACGTCCTGCTCAAAGTGCTAAATTTGACCAAATCATTTGAAGGATATTTGAGCAAGCATTTCATTTGGCAACATAGAATGACCTATTAACGCATTACCCATGATACCTACCCAAATAATGATAGAAAACCGATAGGGGTCATAATGCTATTTGCGGATTTTTCTCAGTTCTATTTAACGCTCATAATCATCATTTTCCATAGGCCTTCCTTGTCACCGAGATCGACTAAGCAAACCACGTTCTGCTAGATTTATATGCATGTTAAAAAACACTTTCCGATGAGCTTGTCGTCTTTGTATTTTGCAAGAAACGTAAATAAAATGAATATCTGCTTCTCAAATTAGTTCCGAGGCCTGCTATCTAATTTTTGATATTGATGAATAAATAAGTTTTGAATGCTAAACAGCGTATATTTGAAATCTATTTTCCTCGAAAACCTTCCATCCGAGCGATGTCAATGAAGTGTATCTTTTACATATCAGAATATAACTTTTCCGATTATATAACAAAAAAGTTTTATAGTCGACAAACATAAAATTTATTGCAGTTTTTGTTACCTGTGCCTCTTAAAAGTTACGCCCCTGCCAAATTTAAGCATTTATAATTTTAGAAAACCTCTATCGCAAATATTAATAAAAAACCATTTTCAGATATATTCCTTTATGCTCCGCTAGGGAGCGGTTCTTGACAAATGTTTATATAGAACACTACGCCTTATTTTGAATGTACTGTTTTTACAAGTTCTGATACAAGGTCATCATATAAACGGGCCACTCTATACATAACAAAATCACCGAACATTATGTTCAGTTCAGTGGAAACAATATTATCCTGTGTCCTCTTGAACCTAAGAAAGTGACTTATTTATTTTAATCTTTCAATGGGTTATTTCGCATTCACACCGCAAATAGAAAACGATATATATTTTTTAAAACAACAAACGCAAAACATTTTGCTCGTCACCTGGGCATTGCACTCCTCCGTTTATCTCGATAGGTGCTGCACGCGAGTGTCGCATTTATTTGTTCTTGGTTCCGTTTCATCATTCATGGTGCCGTGCGAATGCGCTCTCCCTTTCAATTATTCCTCGAAATAAAAAACGCCACACATTTTTCCTAAAATTTATTTTTCGTAACTCTATAAAGGGGCATTCAATCCTTTATTTTTTTTATTACGGAACTTTCAATCATCTTTGGTACAAAAATACATATTTACAAAAATATATTTTTTCTATGGTATTTTCAACCCGGTGTCGACTACCTAAGGCTCTAGTTCGACCCGCCTAAAACAACCTTCCGGCAAGGCTTTCACTATCTCCTCGATATTATCCACGTCGCGCTTCATAGCGCTAATATCGACTTTGTATTGCTCGATAAGATCGTTCTGCGACCTGTGCTCTTCTTGAAGCCTCGACAGCTTCTCTTCCAACTTGGCCTCGTTCAGTTTTTCCTCCGCTAACTGTATGGCTTCTTCCAGACGCGCCAACTCGCCCTCGTCAATTTCCGGTGAGCTCTGCAACTCTGCGATAATCTCGCGAACACCGCCCAGAAGATCGACCACTTTTTTTGAAACCCCGTCCGTATCCTTGCCAGCTTTGCCTACCTGAACAAATGATACTTAATGTCCTATCCGAAAAATGGCTATACAGGGTAGCTCAATGCTGCGAAATTCTTTTATAACTTATTAGGAGTTTATTTTATGGAACAATTTTCAACGGTGTTACTGCTATTTCGTACTACCTATCAAAAATCAGGCAATCCCAAGGTTGACAAGTTCTTGGTTTGATTTACTTCAAAATAGATTTGGAATTGGTCATCCAAATCGCCTGATTTGTGGACCTGCCGCTGTATAAAGAACTAGTGTTGAAAAGGTACAAAAAAATACAAATTTTCACCAAAAAAATAAAGTAAAATTAAAACATGATACTAGAGTTGTGTTTGAATACGGATGTTGTCATATAGAAGCATCTTGATCAATACGTTCTAAATTTAATTTTACTGTTCCGTTATTCATTGTTTGCCAAACAATAAAATAGAAAATATAACAAGAAAACGTTGGAACTAGATGTAGGAAAAACGTAGCTAATCAATAGGTATTATTCTGAATTGGAGCACGTATGTCTGTGTCTTATTTTAAAAAATTAGATACCCTATATCATAACTAACTAACAGAACTAACCACAACTAACAACAAACTCTGCTGACAAGACTAACCTACTTGTATGGGCACCGACTGTTGATACTAAAAAAAGCAGATACTAAATAATGACAAAACAAATAGTCTAATATTTATAACCATGGTGCCAAAATATGTAAATATATAGATTAAAAACAAAAATAGCACTAATTACTGGAAGTCTCTCATCAGATCTTGTATGGGTATAGATATAAAATGATATTAGGGAGCCTTATTGGAGAAAATTTGCAGCAGCAAACGGTAAACTAATTGCTATTGGCACTAAACCTTCCAGGAAAAGCAGGGATAAAAGCATATCATCAGTGGGAGAAGTATCACACGTTCTACAGTAGTAAGATATAGAAAGTATCTCCAAATAATTCAGCTAAACTACCAACGGACCATTGGAACGGACGTAACATTTTGCTTCGAAAAACAATATCAGAAGTTAAATCAAAATATGTATCCACAGAACTGTCCAGGCCAGAAGCAGTACGAGCTTTCATAAACATCTTAAAGGTAAATCTGCTCCTAAGTGCATGGAAAGTAAACTTGACTAACGTTCCATAATCAGTGAATGTTCAATATATGATATACAAAGGCAACAACATAAAATAATACCAATTTTTGAAGATAATTTGTAGTAGCAACAGATTAAACACACTCTGGGATATTTAACAATGTATAGAAAATATTAGAAGGAAATTAGAAGGGGTGTTAGACAGGGGTGTGTCCTGTCCCCCCTCCTCTTTAATATATACTCGGAGGCAGTGTTCCGAGAAGCACTGGTGGACGTGAAAGAAGGCATTAAGATCAACGGCATCCTCATTAATAACATACGTTTCGCCGACGATACGGTCGTGCTCGCCGGCAGCCTACCACATCTCCAGAACATGATGGATCTCATCGTGGAACACAGCACACAGTATGGTCTACATATGAACGTTGCCAAGACCAAGGTGGTTGTGTTCTCCAAGACACCAAAACAGGCGGTCCTCCGGATTAACAAGCAGGTCGTGGAACAAGTGTCGTCCGTTAAATATCTTGGAGCCCTTGTCAACGAGACCAGTGACTCCAAAATGGAAATCAGATCAAGGATAGAACAGGCCAGAAGGACTTTCATCTCAATGAGGACCCTCTTCAGCAGTCGAGATTTGAACCTACAGCTCCGCATGCGCATACTGCGTTGCTGCATCTTCCCAGCGCTAATCTATGGCGCCGAGAGCTGGACATTCAGCCAATCAATGGAGAGTCGCATTGACGCCTTCGAAATGTATTTGTATCGCCGTATGCTGCGCATACCCTGGGTAGACAGGATAACCAACGAGGAAGTACTGAGGAGAATGGGTAAAGGTAGAGAACTGCTGGCAACCATCAAAGAACGGAAGCTTCAATACATCGGACACGTTATGAGGGGAGAACGTTACGACATCCTCCGACTCGTCATCGAGGGAAAAATCGACGGTAAACGATCTGTGGGTAGACGACAGAACTCGTGGCTAAAGGATCTGCGTCGATGGTTTGGACGGACATCTATAGAGATTTTCCGAGGTGCAGTTTCACGCACCATTATAGCCAGTTGGATCGCCAACCTCCGAAGGGAGACGGCGTCCTAAGAAGAAGAAGAAGAAGAAGAAAATATTATGATTAGAGGGGCATCTGTTTGTGTCTCACACTCTTGCCACTCAGGATGTCCGTTAAGGATTTCGTCTCCAATTCCCTGATATTGTTATCTACATAGCGGTCACCTACGGCCAAGAGTGAGGTACAATTATTTACTCCATCTGAACACAAAAATTACAGTTAGATACACTCCTCAGAGAGAGTGGAGCATATTTTAATTTCATCAAATTCTGTAATTGTAAATCATGATCCAAAACACACAAAATTTAACGTCTAACAGTTGAGACGCTGAGTAATAAGGAACCATATACTGCTGAAGAGTATATTAGGGCAGAAGAGTAAATAGTGCGAAAATGTGTTATTATTATCAGCTTACCTTCTCTTTGGCGACTTCCACCAGCGAGTCGTTACTCTTGGCCATCTCGATCAAACCTTTCAGCGCGTTTTCTGATTTTTCAACTCGATCTCGCATACTCTCGGCTTCCTGTTCCAAGCCCGACACTCCTCCCAATAGGTTTTCAGAGTCCTTTTTAATGCGCCCCACCAATTCCGAAGAGTTCGCTTCCAACTCCTTCGCCTGTAATGCCTTCGCCAAGGCGGATTGAGAGTTTTCTTCGGCGTCGGACAAGACCAGTTGCGCTTCTTTGGTTTTCTCGGTGGTATCCAGGATTATGTTCTCGATATCACTGATCGTTCTCAACGCCTCCTCAGCTTCGTCTTTGCTCTTCTGCGTTTCAGTGTCGAAGTCTGAAAGAACATGAAACTCGTTATCAATTATTATGTATTACGGTTGTAAATGCCTGGTTTTCCCATAAAGAGTTTAACAAGAAAAGAAGCAGACGTGCATAACGAATATGGTAAAATTTAGATGTCCCAATAAAAAAATAATTGCTTTAAACACATTCATAACGAGTATAATTTTTTGAACGCATAAAGGCTTTCAGCAACATTGATATACTTTTTTAAATTAAATATAATTATTATTTAGTTTAATCTAAAATCAAGAAAATAAGCTAGTAATAATCCACTTGTTACACCAGTTTCTCATACCTTGCCCAAGTGAGCTGATTCTCTATCTTGCTAAAAGAAATTTTCCAAGGGAGTTGGTACAGAAATATTCTCTAACAATTCAACCTTATGAACTATGTGTCAAGATCTACTTTTCAATGTTGGATGAATAAGTATGCAGTTATGCAGTGAGGCAGAAGTGTTTTCCCATCGGCAAGATGGACATGCTAAACAGTGCATTTGTGAAATGCCTTTGCCTGGAAAACGGTCAATCCTAACGATATCTAGCGATATCAATTAAGTGTACCAATTTATCGTAAGGCAACACAACTTTTCCGATTTTATAAGAAAAAAGTCTAAAACATTAAGCTAGAAAAAAGTTATTGACCCACTAATTTCAGGACATCCTGGACTGGATAGCAAAATGAACGCACAACTAAATTATTTTAAGTTATTTTTAGAAATTATGTTTTTATTATTATGTTTATATAGTATGTTTATCGGATTTCTATTTTGTTGAAATTCAGATAAATAACCTCGTTTTTTTTATACTGCTAAAAGTTATCGTTGTGATTTTGTAAAAATTTATCTTTGTGAGATGGAGATTTCGAAAAATGGGACAGAGATTTGGTGTATCGCATACTTTTGTTTCCTGTATGACAGGTAAGCACTTAAGGAAGACCTTGTCGAGGCAGGCATGACTTAACTACGCCACCTTACCTTTGGAATTATAATAGATGAAACAAAATTTTAAATGCAAAAGTTGCTTGGGTTATTTCGGAATTTTAATTTATTCTCGTTTCGCGTAGCCAATACCAAATTTTGTATTTTCAAGATCCTGTATACGCTACTGATTTAGGTAGACCGTTGAAAGTGGAGTTCAATGATGTACGAGCCCTAACAATTAAATGTTCGGACGATGTAAAAAATGATAAAGACATTTTTATATCTATTTAATTTTTTTTTGCTTTGTCGATTGAATAATCAATTTACGCACATTAGCACAGAAAGTGCTTTCGTAATGAATTATTTTTATTTCGCATGAATTACATGGCAAAATAACGGAAACATACCAAATTTGCTGACAAATAAATATTCGGACGCGAATGTTTATTGACCAAGAAATCAATGCTACCCATGCATTGATGGTAAAATGTAGTGTGCTTAGATAAATGAGATGTCAGTTGGGGTTGCATCTTTCAAGTTTGTATAATAGTTGATAAGAAAATGACGCGTGGTGTTGCAACAAACAAAAAAGTGCGAGAAATTATCATATCTCAGTACTGCAGAGGTATTTGGCAGAGGTAACGTTTGGATTGGGCAAAATCTAAAATATTCTCGACAACCGAAACGTGGAGTAACGTTATCTTCAGCGACGAATCAAAATTTGATATGTGTGTAGGCGATTTTTGAAAAAGGCTGATTCGTATAAAATCAGAAGCTTGTGTAAAGCGCACGGTAAAATTTCCCCAGGGTGTTATGATATGCGGGTGTATGAGTGGTAAAGGGGTTGGCAACTACGAGTTCATTGATGGTACTGGAAATGCAGAAAAATACCAATTACAATTTTACAAATTTTATCAAGATGTTTGATTCCATCAATAGAACGAACTTTTGGAAATGAAAATTTTATATTTCAACAAGTCCTGCCATACTGCGAAAACAACAAAAAAGTGGTTTGGGGACCATAATATGAAAGTTTTATCGTGGCCATCAAGTAGCCCCGACTTGAATATTATTGAAACTTTATGGCATCGGATGAAAAAGACTGCGTAACAATCCTCAACGTACAGTTCCAGCATTAAAGGCAAAAATCACAGAAATTTGGAACACTTTCACCCCCGAATATTGCAAGACTTTGGTAGATTCGATGCCAAAACGCATAGAAGCTGTTATTAATCTTATTAATTTTTATTAATGTTCGACTTTAAGTAAAAGATTTAAATGCGTCCGAATATTTATTTGTCAGCAAATTCTGGATGTTTTTGATATTTTGTTATGTAATTTATGTGAAATAAAAAATTAATTCATTAAGATAGCACTTTTTGGTATGAAAATAAGTGCATGATTTCATTTTTCAATCGAAAAGGCAAAAAAAAAAATTAAAATAAGTATAAATATATTTTCTTATTATTTCGTACATCGTCCGAACAATTAGTTGTTAGGGCTCGTATAATAGAATGGGGTTTAAACGCAACATTTCGGAATTATTGACGGTCGTATTCATTATTGGCCAGATATTTTAACTGATTTATCTAAGGTATTTCAATTTTGTTTCTTCACATAAGAATGATATTCTTGTCATTTATTTATTCTACCAGTTTTGCATTTTTAAATAAAAAAATGTTAACCTTCAGTTTGCTCATTTTTTTAAAACGGAAAACCCTCGCTACCTTTAGATGGACTTTTAAAAGACGAATTCAAAGATATGTAATATGAGGGAACTAGGGATTATCTTCAGTACGAAGCCTATTTTTCAAATGATTTACAAAGCACGTTCTCAAGACGTTTAATTCACAATTTTGATGAAGCATTACTACCAAAACCAAATGAAAACTAAAATGAAACTGACAAACGGTAAATATAACTATTATAGATTATCGAACAATATTAAACAAACGTTTTATAAACGAAATTTACTAACATGAAGAATTTTATTTGGAAAATAGGCTTCATACTGAAGATGATGACCAGAAACGGTGATTTGTACACCGTTCATATTATATATCAGTGGTCTGCCTTTAAAGAAAAAGAGAAAACTTATATTGCGACTGTAAGATATTTTTCATTTAAAAATGCAAATATAGCAAAATAAGTCAACGACAAGAGTATCTTTTTTAAAGAAACAAAATTGAAACAAGTTAGATAAATCAGTTTAAAAAATGATGAACGTCAATAATTCCGAAACGTTGCGTTTAATCTAAATCAATATTCCATTTGAAATAAAAAGTGGGTAGGGGACACGGCGAAACGAGTTAACATGAAAATGTAATAAATAAAAAGTCCAAATTAACTCAATCAACTTTTGTATTCAACTTTTTGTTCAATCTCTTTTAGTTCCTGAGAAAACGCGGAGGTGCCTCATAACGGGCCACCCCGAACCCTTTTGCAAGAAAAAAGTATAAAAGATAAACTCACACAATAGTTATTGCAGTTTCTTCACATATGAGTATGTCAAAAACTAGGGTTTATTTTATTTTTGGGGAGCCTGTATATTATATATTTTCGTATATCCTCACTCTTATGACATAGCTTGTATATAAATAAATACTTTCATAATGTTTGTCTTTCGATTTCTTTCAAAATAATGTTAACTCTATCGTGTCTCCTTTGAATATAGGAAATTACCTTTGAGATCATTGTAAATGCTCTCGCTTTCATTGAGGTACTTGTTCCATCGGTCAAGAGTCTCCTCCGCGCTCTTATTCGCCACGTAGATATCGCTGAGCAGCTCGTCGGTTTCGTTCTGCTGGTCCTCCGCTCTGTCTAGCAATCGCGCGGCCTCCTCGTTTCTGTCGTCAATGGACTTCCTCAGCTCTTCGCTGTCCCTAAACAAATCTTCCGTTCGGTTCCCGATCCGAAGCGCCTCGTCCCTCAACTTATCGGACCGTGCCCTCAGCTTCGGTACGTCGATCTGCGGGACCGCCAAATTGTTAACTTCGTTCAGTAATGCAGTGGCGTCGCTTTTCGCCGTTTTCGCTTGCTCGTTCACTTCTTCGGTCCACTTTTTACTTTTCTTCAGTTTCCTGTCAGCGTCCGCGAGCTCCTTGTTAAGGCGCCGGGCGTCGTCTTCGATCCGCGATTGTTCCAGGTTGGCGTTTTTCGCCTTTTCATACGCCTGAATCGACTTATTTTTCGCTTCGTCTGCAGTTTTCAGGAGAACGTCGGCTTTCCTATCGAGCACTTCCGCAATCTCCCTAGCTACCTGCGCGATCTTGGTCATTTGGTCCGATTGCTGACCGGCCACGTTCGACCTGTTCCAAGCTTCCTCCAAGCTTTTCGCAGCCTGCAACTCGAACTCCCCTTGCACCTCGTTCAACCTTATCTGGATCTCTTCTAGGAGTATGTCGCTGTGCTCGTTGTTGCGCTCGGCGTCGTCTATTTTCGCCGTTATCACGTCCACGTTCTCATCGACAGTAGACAAAACGCGAGAGATGTCCTTCTCTCGTTTTCTGATGTCCTGCACTTGGTACATGACACTGCTCTCGCCGGTTGCCGTTTTGATTTGATCGTGAAACTGATCTATCTCGTCCTCTAACTTGATGAGCTCCGCGGGAAAGTCGGCGTCCTCGATAACAGTAGGCCGCCGTTCGATTTCGTCCAGAATGCTGGCCAAGCGAACGAGCTTGTCACCGTTCGTCCTGTGGGCGCTCTGGACCAGGTTGTAACAATCGGGACAGTCCACGCAGCCTCTGTGTCTGTCGTACTTGTTCTCTTTACACCTGTCGCACCGTCGTCCCTCTACGTTTTCCAAGCAGGGACAACGTCCCACGGAATCGCATTGCAGGTCCCGGGACCCGATCGGATCGCAATCGCAATCCGTGCAACCCTCTGTCGAGAAGCCGTACTTGCGCGTCTCGCAATGGTCGCACCTCAACCTGGAACAAATCGAAATTAAATTATATACCGAATAAAAAAAGCTCAAAGTTTCATTCTACATTCGCTACATTTATTGTCATCATGTCTTGATAAACTAAAGCACTTTAACTTCACAGATCGATTTCTTACTGTTTCTCTCTGCTTTTTTTCCAAGGTTCAATCTTAACTGTGTCTGGGGAGGAGGTCTTTCATTGCGATTACCGTTTTTTTTTAGTGCAAGAAGATATGACTTATTGGAAGTTTGCAGAGGTAAGGGAGAGGCATAGGCTGTTCAGAAGAAATTTCTTTGTATTGATTGTTGTTGTAACCTGTATTCGACCTCTTATTTTTGGATTCTTTGGAGCAATTGAAGTATTGAAGGGGATTAAAAAATTTTTATGTGTGGGGACTTTAACGCTCCAAAAATTCAATTATTAATAATTTCACCAATTTCAATAACAGATGAACAGACTTAAAGATATAGTGTTTCCAATTATTATCTGTGATGTACGATGTTTAATCGAGTAAAGAGTCGTCTTGAATAATATATTTGCTTAGATTGTACCTAGATATAAGCTACATATTCTGAAATTAGTTTTGCCCTTGGAGAGGCGTGATATGTTTAGAGATCTCAGTGTTGTGTTTGATACTGACTTTACTTTTATTCAGCACATATTAAGAACAACGGCCAGCGCATCCAAATTGCTGGTCTACTGTATTAAAAACGGGCGAGGTCTGTCCAACATATCTACCAATAAAGTTTATATAATGTTTATAAGGAGTAAATCGTCTCCGAGGAGTAATTGCTCTATAACTATATATATATATATATATATATATATATATATATATATATATATATATATATATATATATATATATATATATATATATATATATATATATATATATATATATATATATATATATATATATATATATATATATATATATATATATATATATATATATATATATATATATATATACTACTATATATACTTTCACATTAAGGTACATTGATATTATTACCAATATGATGGTCAACAATTTATCAAATATGTTGTCTAATGTAAAGTATATTTCCTATTTTCTATTTGTTCGACTTATGCTGTGTTTCCATCGTTAGGCCTTCATTTCTACAGTATATGTTGGCACTGGTCTCACCGCCGTCTTATAGATTCAGACCTTGCTCTCAGTAGTTATGTACTTGTTCTTCCAAATGATATATCTCAGGTATCATGCATTTCTGGAAGATTTGTTCGCTTATGTGCTCTGATTAAGTCTCTGTTTCTTGATATTTCCTCTCCCAAATAGGAACATTTCGAATTTTGCTGTATCGGTTGGTCTTACATTGCATGTTATTAGCTATCTTGCCATTGCCAGATATCTGCATAAATCTTGCTACTCTTAGATGGAACTTGTATAGTAGTATTTGCAAGTCGACCTCAGTTTCGGACATTAAAATTGCTTAAGCTCAAGTTATTACTCTGTCTGATTCATGTCATGACTACTATCTCTGCTATCAACCCTTGTGTTCTTATTTTAGTTTTATTGTTTTTGTTAAGTTGTGCTATTGTCTGTACATAATCTTTTGAAGTGGCCTATTGTAAAATGCAAAGGAATAAGGAATTGTCGAATAACTTATTGGTATTGCTTAGTAGTGAGACTATTCTGTAGATTCTAGACCTTAAAATCTCGGAAAAGACATCACTAACAAAAACTAAGAGCTGCAAGTAAAAAAGTCGTTAATCGTAATATATTTCATTGTTTTCTTAAAAGCAGTATTTATTGTTTATATTTATATAATAAGTTATATACACACATGAAAAAGTAATACAAACTGTTCAGTTGCACCGGCTAGAACTTCTGTTTCTCAAGATACTAGTTTCCGAGTACAAACCTCTTTCACAGAATTATAGCAAATTGATCTTTAAGAATGATGATCTTAAATACGGTGTTTATTATAAATTATAGATTATAAATTTAATGAACATAAACCGTGTCCGTTCTACTCCATTATTAGAAAAATCATACCTAGCAACAATAGACACTTCGTTAAAGCAAATTTTAACAAGACTCTGGGCATTGCTATTGACGAAAATAAATGGTTGTTTGGAGCTCATAGAAGATTTCAAATTTTAATTAATTTATTAATGTATATTATTAAGGTATATGTTGCTGAGTCTAAAAACTGTTACCAACTATAACGTCTGTTCCATTGATCTATTTTTCCATTATTTTGTAAATAAAATAATTATTAATAAAAAATATGTGTTTAAGTAAAATGAGGTTTGTCTTAAGCATTGAAGAGGACTGACTAAGGGGTCTGGAGATATAACCTGGTGGTATAGCATCTGAAGTTGTTAAGTATGACCAAGTAAAGTTACTGTGTATGATCCAGATGATGTTCGAAAGAGTAATATATGGAGAACAACGCCCCAAACAGTGCAGAAGCCATCACTTTTCAAGAAGGAAGAAAAAAAATTGAAATACGACAAAGCGATATGTGCATCAACTTTGGATAGAATAAACGGAAAACTCATAAACCTAAAACTAGGAGGACCTAGATAAAAAAATGGCGAAGATCAAGCAGGCTTTACAACAAGAACATCATGTATGGACTATATTTACGCATTTCAGTTAGTAATTGAGAGATAATTACAAATTTCATAGATCTAAGGAAGGCTTATGACGCCCTACCAAGAGAACGGCTTTGATAAGCAATACAAGAGATTGTTATTACAAATAACCTGTTATAAGCTACAAAACACCAAGTGGACTATGGCAGGGTAGTCCCACATCCACTGCTCAGTCAAAATGCATGATTAGAAAACTTACTGATGAGACAGGCTAGAAATCATCCCCCGTGAAACAGAGTGTGTGGGTTCAAACAAGTTACTTGAAGAATCAAAGACCGAAATAATTAAGAGCGCAAGGCATTTCAAACATTGCAGATTTGCTATCTCGAGAGACGAAATGACAACAGAAGATATAACAAACTAAGGTCATGTATTAAACAATTGACTGGAGTTCTCTGAAACGCTCATATTACGAAAAAGACAAAAAAAACATTTTTCAATACCCTTGTTCGAATTGCCATGACTTACGGGATTGAGAACTGGATAATAAATTAAAAGCACGAAAGCAGAATCACAGTCACATAAATCGGCAGCTGGAGAAGAGGTAATAGGATGAGACGAAGAGACTGAATTCCTCACTCAAACAGGAAATACAGGAAATAGAAATATAGATGAAGCTGGAACGATAGAGAAGCATGGCAGATCAATTAAGTGAGGGGAGACGGCGTCAGGAAATTCAATGCCAGTGATGAAATATTTTTCACTAATTATATGGAAGTAAAATCTCCTCACCCCGTTACCCCAGGTCTGCAATAGCACTGTCCTGTGTAAAGGTTGCACGTATGGTTGAGAGCGCCTACTGAATCACAGTTGCAAGACTGGCAGCCCTCTCCGCTTTGCAAGTTGAAAAACCCATCTTCGCACTGGTCGCAATTCCTTCCGATCACGTGCGGTTTGCATTGGCAGGAACCGGTTGACGGGTCACAAACGGGTTCGCCTTTGGAGTCTGGTTTGGTACCCACCGAATAACACTGACATCGTTTGCAATCACCTTTGGGAAGCACCAAAGCGTTGCCGTAGAATCCTAGCAAAATAAAATTATTCAAATATGAAATTAATAATAAAATCGTATAGGTACACCCCAACCTAGACTTTCCGCCATTCCTCCTATCAAAAACCGATTCATACTTATCGATACCTTAATTTCATACAACCATAATCCAGTTACACAACTATAACTTATGAACGGCATATTTAAAAAATATATGGAAACATATTTTTCTACTCCCGTCTGTAAAAACCTACTTACCCAACACATGCAACACGTTCGGTAAACTTTCTAACTCACTCGTTTATTAAACACTCGCCCCGCTCGTGTCAAATAAACTCATGAGTCAAATGCCGATTACCGAACTTGTTGCATAATATACTATTGTATATATAATATGCCTGACAACTAAGCATTTCAGGAATCAAGCGAGGGAAATGAAAATTGTTAGTAGTCTTGCATAATAACTGAGACCATTAGGAATTACCCATAAATACCAAAATCTTCATATGCTATGCATAGTAACTGGGATATTTCGTTAATATTGACAATACCTAAAAATTTTTCAGAAATTATTTCCTAGTTAGTAGAAAATTTCAATTTCTCCGTAGCGTTGGTGCTGCCAAGCGACTGGCTTGCAAGTGAACTTGGCTCCCGTATTTTTACGAAAAGTGCCTTCGCAGGGAGATTTCGTATTTAAAATTTATATTCGCAATTTTTTACCGTTGATTAGCTTTGGTTATTTTGGGTTACTTTTGGTTTTGATGTGACATTTAAACTCTATATACCCTAACATACGTTTTACCATTGAGTCGGAAACTAATAATAAGCTTCCATTCTTAGATATTCTTATCAAGAGAAAATCAGACTAACACTGTGTTTACGTAAAACCTACGCACACAGACCGATACTTTAATGCATGGTCACTTCACCGTCCGGCCCAAAAATCATCGGTTATCATGTTTACAAAGCCCTAAAACTATCCCAGCCTGAGTCACTGAACCCAGAATTAAAACACCTTACCTTTGCTTTTCCCTATAATAATTTCCATATTAAAGATATTAAGACTTCACCACAACCTTATTATAGCAATGATCCTGCACTTGCCACTGTGGTCCTTCCTTACATTCAAAATATCACTGACCACATATCAAAAGTTCTAAAGAAGTATAATGTCAAAACCAGATTTACCACTTGTCCAAAAATCTCTCAACATCTTTGAGCCGTCAAAGATAAAATTCCATTTGAGATTCCAGGAGTTTACAGCATCCCATGCATATGCGGCAAAGAATACATTGGAGAAACAAAAATATCAACGAGGCTCAAAGAACACGAAAGAGCCTTCCGACTAAGATAAATAAACTCATCAGCTGTTGCCGAACACAATCGCGAAACCGGACATAAAATTTTATTCAATCAAACAAACAATCTTAACAGCGACTCAGGCCTCTAGCTGTCACCAATATGGGAATCAGTCATCCGAGACGGTGTTTATGCCCCTCATTTAGCTCCGCCCCCCTCAAATAATATATAAGCAGGTACAGAGTAAAATGCGAGCCAGTTTTAGTCAAGTTCTGAAGAAGCCAACAGGGTGATTGGCGAAACGTCAGTAAGTTCAGCAAAAGAAGTTTTGTAAAAAGTATAACAATTTTTTTTCTAGTGCGCTATAGAAAGATTTTTCAGCAATATTAACAGTCAGAACAGCCGTCAATAAAGATACAATAAGTGATTTCTTTAGATATCTAGAAATTGCAAATCAGAATGTATACATAATTACGACGAAACTAATTTGGTCAATGACCCGGGAATAAAAGGAATGCTTATCAAAATTTTCCCAAAGCAGATGTGAGTCTTATGACCATAAGGCGGAAAAATGTGGTATACATGGACGGAAGATGGTCCCACAAATTCTTGATATAACCGGTCGAAATCTGGATGGTTTGTAAGCAGTAGCTCTTTAAAAACTGATGTTTTTTCGCCGGAATTTTCGACTTGAAAAAGAAGAATAGAAGAGAGTTGCAGACAACCCAAGTTCCGAAATAATTTTGAGGGTCCTAAAGTCCTGCATTGAAAACGACATAGCTAATTCCTATACCTTCAGACCTTTTAATTGGCATATGAGGCTAATTCTTGATACCTGGAACACAACAGCGAGCGACCAGAAACACAGAGCTAGTTTCGGATGCTTATATCCAATACATCTAAAATAAAATAAAAACAACAGTAGGGGAGACTGTACTAAAAGAAAGAAGGATAAAACTGCACATAGTGCCAAGAACAAGAGATAGTAGAGAGCTGAAACAGCAACGAAGAAGGAGGCGATAATTTTTCGTTAGCTTCTAATGCTTCACTGAATTTATTCCAACAAGGAAAGGATGCTGAAAATACCGCTAGTGCATTTAACGCTGGCAGTGAGGCAGAGAGGCAACACTGCAAAATAGCAAAGCAAATATCCAAAAAATGTCAACTTCTTCTTGTCCCTGAACAGGAAAATATAAGAAAGAATGTTTTTGAGTTTGAAAAATAAATATCTTTTGGAATATCATATATTTGGAATATAAACTATCTTTCAACTTGCTGCGTTAAATTTCATAAGGTTGTGTATTCTGTAACTACGGTCGGAAGTAGAAAAAAACAATAATTATAATAAATAAAACATATTATCTCATTCTTATCTCATTTAACTACGGTACGGTAAGAAAATTTTAAGATAGTTAGGTTATGAATTGTAATCTAGAATCTAGATCTATAATCAGTTCTTCTCTCATACACTTTCCATTGTTAGGATCATCATTTATATTATTGTAAAAAGTAACTTAATTATATACGAAACTTCGTCTAAACATGGTCCAACGAAAACGAAAAGCGAACACCTATATACAAATCTTAAATTTGCACTTGAATACTTAGGGGGATTAGAAGTAATATGAGTAAGCTCATCTACATCATCAAATCCAATAACTGAAAACATTGTTGCAGAGTAATGAAGGAGAGCAAGTCATTAAAATGATCTGCACATTTCACAAAATTAAATTTATCTATCTCTATCAATCTCCACTCGTACATACAAATATTCAAATAGCTATTGGCGCAAAAAAATAATAATTTGTCAACTAAAACAAATGAAGCTGTGAATCCCCGCTCACCATCCTCCAACCAGGTTTGGCTCACACACATAACATCAGATTTAACATTTAGAACTAAACTACAGAATTGATGACAAGTGAGTCGCTGACAAGACTCACCTGGTAGACAGACTTCGCAACGACTGCCTCTGGTATTGTGTATACACCTCACACATTCTCCTGTCGTCGTGTTGCAGTTGCCGATGGCGTTGGTGTCGATGTTTTGGTTACATTCGCAAACCTGACACGGAACGGGTGGACCGAACCTTCCGGTTGGATCACCGTAGTACCCATCGGAGCACACATCGCATCTATGACCTGAATATCCGGTTGGACATTCGGTGCAGACGATCTCGTCCCCTTCGATTTGAATGCAAGGACCACCATTAGGGCACCCGCACGGGAGGCAGTCGTTGGGTGTTCCCTCCAGAGCGTTTCCGTAGTAACCTCTGGCGCATAAGTCGCAATTCTCGCCCGTGGTGTGGTGTTCACAGATACACTTGCCCGTCTCCGAGTCGCAGATTTTTGCGTGCTGATTGCAGTCGCAGGGTATGCAGTTCGTCAAAGCCCCGCCGAGCGCCGGCGAGTGGCGGAATTCGGGAGCGCAAGACTCGCAAAATTGACCGACATAACCTAAACACGATTCAAGATAATTTATGAATACCTGTCCAGCACAAGACATCCGATGGACCTCTATTTTCGCTCATCTATAAGTACAGACTGGGCAAGTAAGCGAGATAAGGGCAAAGTGAATAAAAGAAAATACTGGCATGAAATAAGAGCGCACTCAACAGTTTTCACTGATCCAGCTAGAGAGCGGCAATTCAAACATTTATAGTTTTGGTTATCTTTTCCAATTTTTTCAACAAAAATAAAAAGTACATAAAATTTGCAATAAAAAATCGTCAAACCAGGTGTCGATAACTTCACCGGTTCAAGAGTTATGGCCAGAAGAGCATTTTCTACTTGTGCAATGAGAAATTATATTTCTAATTGTTATAGTCAAGAATGCCGGGGGACTAAGTAAATAAGCATTTTATTTTAACAAATAAATAGATAATTTAACGGGCAGAATTTGAATAAAACACAAAAAACTTGTAATAGATCGCTGTAGTGCTGACTGCGTTTGTAAAAGGAATTTTAACGGATATATGCAAATAGCAACAACCAAAAATTTTACCTTTCTTTCAAATTACTTTGCATAATTTTATCACGGGAACGTGAAAATTATATAAAAAAATACGGGTGAATCCAGAGACCAAATTTCGTCAGGAAAAGCGTAAAATTTTAATTTCGTCCCCTAAATATTTCAAAATTTTTGACTGATATTTTAATACTATTAATACTTTAAGCTGCGGTAAAATTTTTAAACCAAATTTCTTCAAATAGCTAGAACAGTCATCAACCAGTATTTACACTTATTTCTTATTGTATTACTTTTATAGTTATTTTAAATATGGTTTTGAACATTTGTCATATTAAAACATTTATTATTTTAATAAAATAATTCAAATAAAATATTATTTAGTAAAATGCATTTTTCTAGTGGACCATAACTATGACTCCTCCTTAGAAAATCACATATTTTTTGTTGTTCACTTTAGTATTACATTTTTTTACCGCAAATCTCTACAACTCGTGGTTTCGAAGATACAGCCGCTGCCTCGCTTATCCTATGGATATTAAAAAGATAAGTCCATTATTCGTACTTTTGACACATTCAATTATTTCCACCTGTTTTCAATAAACAAATTGGCAGAAATTATTAACAAATAACAATTGCATATTTGATATATAATATATGTTATATATATATATATATATATATATATATATATATATATATATATATATATATATATATATATATATATATATATATATATATATATATATATATATATATATATATTTATAATCCCATTCAGTTTACTTTAGACTGGAGAAAACGAATTCACTGGATTATTTTTTAATCCACTTTTATTTATTCATTTCTGACCGCTTAAAATTAATAATATGGAGGTTCAACTAATAAAATCGACATCTTAAAGACGCCACTGTCTGTAATCTAATGTAACGCATATCCATTTGCTTCTACAGGTACTGATTTCCACAGAAGATAGATTAAAATGTTTGTTGTGTAGGTAGAGGCTACTTCAGAAAAATGTACTGTAATAAAATGGAAAATCCCGTCCACTTCAGTTTCGGTATCGGCCATAGACATCGGTAAAACTTTGTGCAATAAAATTGCAAATTCAATACTAATAAATAGTTCTCATCTTTTACCACTTCCCACTTTATCAGATATTATATTGCTCCTCATTCTTCGTTGTGTAAGAGTAAAGGGAAATGATTGACAGAATAATTAAAACACACTCACGGTAGCTCCTTTGTTTAACGTATTAGCTGTTGAGCCGTAATATTTATAGTATTATAAGACTAGTAAAATTCTCCACCATCAGAAAGTGAAAAAGTTTTTTTAAATGTTACGATTACCCCAATTTTACCGAACAAGAAATTGTCTACCGATGTTTCGGAACGAGTTGGAAAGTTCCGAATCTCAAAAAAAAAGTCCAGGGAGATCACAATAAGTCCTGGATGAAAACACTATAATTGTGATTGAAGGAAATTTTACTCTTTTTTAAAAAAATACTCACCCTAGAAAAGGTTTTAATGGATGGAAAGGGATGACGGTAATTCCTTTGATAACTATTAAACTTATATGGACCACTTTAGAAAATATGGATTATACCCAAAACAAGGATAATTTTAACACACTTTTATTGGAAAGCAATGAAATTGGACAAGCATAATGCAGTACGGCAGAGAACAGGAATCTTGATGACACGTTTATTATTGTAGGTTATATAGAGTTTACTAAAATTAGTGGGTTAAACTATAACAGCATAGTCTAGATACAAAATAAGCCCTAGTTTTATATATAAACAACTGATTTTTAAATTATAAATGTCAAAGTTTGGCGAGGGTGTAACTTTTGACTGGTACAGCTAACAAAAACTGCAATATATGTTTTGTGAGTTGAGTAATAAAACTTTTTTTCTTATAAAATCGGAAAAGTTGAGTTCTGTTACACTTGATTGCTGTTATAGTTTGGCCCACAAATTTTAGTAACACCCAGTGCTCGCCAAGCTTTCGTGAAAGCGAAAAAGCATTTTCAAAAAAAAGAGAGACTACAACTTAATCTTGAAGAGAACAAAAAACTGTCTACTGGTTAATCATCAAAAATATTGAAAAGATAATTTGAAGAAAATATGTGGAGGATATAGCTGAAAAACATTGTATAACAGTGCTGCCCATGCTGCATATCAATAAGAACCACGCACTATAAACTTTAAATGTTTGCTACTTAAGGATTTGTAGCAAGAGAAAACACGACATTCAAAATGAAAGGCCTTAAAGTACTGTGTGATAAAGCCATTACAGAAGCAATTCGCATGCCAAAAAGTTGACGCCGTTATATATTTCGTCAAGAAGGTGTTAGTAGCTCAGATTAAGAAGAATACAAATTTTTAAAAAGTATTGTTTTTATAATGCTTAATGAAAATAAAGGGCACCTAACATATTTGCATAATGAATAGTTTTTATTCTCTTAAAAATAAAATTCCTTCCTTTTCATGAGTATCCTACGGCATAAATATTCGTTGGGTCACTCTGTAGTCCATTGGAATACCTATAGCCTAAAACATTCTGATATAGAGTATAAGAGCCTGTGATAACGAGTGAACACTATCTGTCGTGTTGGAATTGACCAGCTAGGCAATTTTAGAGTGAGACGGGTAGTAGTGGAGAATGTTTTCTGGATTTTTTTAGTTTTCGATATATTTTGACTGAATTTGACGATGGCAATCTTGTGTATGTGAAGTTGCTCGTTAAGAGAAAAGAGAATGTGAATGAAAAATAGTAGAACAGCTTTAGTTGCTACAAAATGTGTATTAAGAAATGTATTGAACAAACTTTTTTAACATAATTTTGTTATGTTTGATTCGAGGCGAATATTGTTCCGAGTTATTCGGATATGGCATAATTTTTCAATTGTTTCCTTTTGCCATCTTAATCGAGAAAACTACAATAATCTGCACTTAATTTGTTACGTGGCTCTAGCTTTAAAAGCTTGTCAAAAATCACTGGTTCTAGAAGTTCTATCTCTAAAAGTTCTTCTGCAAGCAATAGGTCTAAAACTCTCACTCTAAAACAGACCTTCTTGGTCGAAAAGTTGCAATTCATAGTCGATATCAACCAGATTCCAGTCTAAATCAGATTTCCCCTCACTTATTGTATCGATGACTACAACAATCCATCAATTACTTAGAAATAAAAAATAAACCCGATTTTCTATAACTATTAACCTATTAGAAAAATTGAAAAAATAAATTTAAAAATGTTGCGCCTTTTCCAAGTTAAGTTTATATATTTAATTAAAATAAATTGCTATTCGCTGGGAAATATTTTTTGGCGTTAGAAACAGTTAAATATTTTCAATCTGTAATTTCTATCAATATGTACTCGTTTATTTATAAATTTTATTTTTACGAATATTGACAGTTTTTGGATTCACCACCAAATAATAAGCTGTAAATAAATTCAATGAGAAACGAGAACACCCCATTCTCCAATTTATATAAATAACGAAAAGAAATACGATTCCTATTGCTAGCCGTCTTTTTCTATAAATTTCGGTAAAATTTAATTGGAAATCACATACCGAGGGGGCAGTCGCAAAATTCCATCCATAGGGCCGGCTCGCCGGCTGCGCCCCTAGCGGCGGTTTCCAGCTTGACGTCGTCCAAAAATCCGACCCCTTGAGGAGCGTAGGTTCCCTTAATTTTAATGGCTGTCAAATTGGTTAAGATTGAAATAAAGTTACGGGAACTCAGTCTCGGTTGCCATCCGAAGTCCGGATGCTCGTGGAGCCGAAATCTGTACTGTTGCGTCTGGTGGAGAGACACAAAGAATAGTTATGTATATGATAATGCCGGTGTTTTTTGGTTATAGACTTCACAGATAAACTAAAATTCCACGGAGGGGGTAAAATAGATGAAGGATAATATGGGGTATTTCTATGCTGTTTTCCCAATAACAGACCCTGAGCTAAAGTTTCCGCGTTTTATTTGAGACAGTTTCAGAAAAACAGCAGACCGCAAACGATTATCTTTAAGTCACATCTAAAACCCAATTGAAAGGGTAGAAAAGAAAAATAAGAATAGGACATTAAAGGAGGTCATGAAAAGAAAGATAGTTGCTGGGGTCGATTTAAAGAAGACTCGGAAAAAGATTTCAAAAAGTACAAATTGTCAAAATATGCTTGGAAGTGATCTGTTTTCCAAGTCTTTTGAGGAATATATGAATATATGACCTTCGTGTGAAATCTGCACAATTTACGAACTGTACTCCATTTAGCCTGCCCAATGGGCTTCCAAAAACTACGCTTGAATTTTAGATAAGAAAAGTCCCATTCATTGATAAAAACTTTGTAAGACAGTTTTTCCAATTACCAAAACTGTTCAACCATTCTCAAGGTTATCTGTAAGTGAAGCAAAAACATGTGAATTAAATTTTTTAATTAAATGGTGAGCCTGGACATCACGTTAAATTTAAATCTCACGCTACCTCAATTTAAAGCAAAAGTGAAGGAATTCCTTATTAAAAAATGCTACTGCTCACTGATACAGATACTTAAGGAATAAGTTATGCTTTATTTACGTTTTTGCATGATTTGTTTTGTGCTGTATACATTTATAATTAGATTGTAACGTGCATATCTTCCTTTATCTGCTGCCGTCCTGACGAATTTCTGCTGATGCTGATGAATATCTTGTATTTGTATCATTTAAAAGAGGTAACCAAATTCTATTCTTATTTTGCCCATATTCTCATCACTATTTACTGACTCACCTGTATTGACGGTATCTTGTTCGATTGGGCGAAGATGGTGTTGGTTACGGACGCCCCATTGCCTTCCAGAATGATATCGGTAGCTGTCGGAAGCGGCCTCGTATCTCCCACCCGAAAAACAAACTCCAAAATTTGATTATAGGAAGCCCTTTGGTCTCCTAAGAATCGTTCGGGGGCCAGAAAGTACACGGCCTCGTCGTCCTGAGACTGAACTCCGATGCTCTGACTTATAGATTCGTATTTCAGTGCAATATTTCTGCCGAACTGATCCTCGGCGCGCCATCTTTCGATACCCTTGGCGAAGTTTGACTCCACAGCGTACTTGGAGTATCCCATAGCCGAGGTACATTTGGACGAATGCCCGTAACAGAAACACGGAGTGCAGCCGAATTCATTGGTAACATCCAGATTGAAAAATCCGGGTTTGCAATCGCGGCACTGTTTTCCCTCCACGTTGTCCTTGCAAAAACAACTTCCTGTGATCGGATCGCAATCCGGCTGGTTGACAGCCGATCCGGCTACGGAGCAGCCACATGTTTTACACCCGGATTTCGAGAAATCGTAGTGGTTTTGGGCGCATCGGTCGCATTTGTCACCGGCGACTCCGGATTTGCACTGGCACTTGCCTTCCGAGTTGCATTGGAGGCTTCTGGAGCCGATTTCGTTGCATTCACAAGCGACGCAGACACCGTCTTCGCGCATGTAGTAGTTGGGTTTGCAGCGTTCGCAATTGGGACCGTCTCTGTTCGCCGTACAGTCCAGACAGTGACCCCCGTGACCGGTTTGTTCGTACAATTTCGCGTCGAACATGCATCGGGTTGAAAATCCGTTACAGTTACATTCTGGAAAGTAGTTTTAATTAGTTTAATTGAGAAATAATAGACGAAAACATTTTACGAGTATCCTTTATTCTACTAAACCAAGCCCTACTAAGACCAAAACTATGGAAACGCTGCGTTAATGATACTTTCGTTCTTTGATCTCATTGCCAAAAACCTCTCTGAGATTATTTTAACCAGATATACTCCATACACTTAAAAATAGGTTTTATCATTGAATTAGGAGCTAATAATAACCTCCTAATATTGGCAGTTTAGAGAAATCTAAGCGCACAAGCTGACACCTCAATACATAAATCGTATAACTGTCTCAGCCCGTACACACTTAATATCTGCTCTCCTCTGAAAAAAATTCCACATTAGATATATTAAGCGTTCCATTACAAAATACACTTCACCACAACATCCCAAAGAAAATGAGCTCCTCCTTACATCTCAAAAGTTCTTAGAAAGTATAATGGTTAAACCAGAGTTGCAACTTGTTCAAAAATCAGCAGTTGCTGAACATAATCATGAAAACAGATATCAACTCTTATTCGACCAAACTAAAATTTTTGCATGTAATAAATTCCTCTACTAAAGAAGAATCTGAATCTCCAGAATCTCAACCGTGATATATAAGCAGATACAGAGTAGAATGCGAACCAGTTCCAGTTAAGCTCTGAAGAAGCCAACAGGATGGTTGCCAAAACATCAGCAGGTTCGATTCATCAACAACGGATGCAGGAGGAATTCGGAAGATTTGTAAATGGAAAATTATCCCTTGTTAGGTGAAGAACCGCCTTAGAAAAAAAACGTATTTTTTGATTAATTATACATAAAAATTACGAAGATTGTACAAAGAGTTGTTTATGGTAGGCGACTTTAACAGCAGAAATCGTCTTGACAAGTGAAATGTACGCCAAACTAATAATATATAAGCAAAGGCTTCCTTCCTGCATAAATCTATTCACCAATTCACATGGATTCAACTTACTACAAGTCTTAAATCGATCATTGACCATCTAATAATACAACCAAAACCGGATATCGATGGTTATGGACCTCAGGGTTTACAGAGATTTTTTGACAACCACCCTTTAAAAGCTAAAATAGAATTACCAGCATAAGACTGCTGAAAAAAGTTAAAACTCACTGAACTCTCGACGAAAAATGCAACTTAAATGACAGTATTAAAATTTTTTATGAAATGAGACTACGTTGAACAATACAGACAATAAAACCCCTGAGCAAACGTACAGAGATCTGCAAAAGAGCATACACGAAACTGCCAAGGAGACATTAAGTATACATACAAAGATTGGCGGAAAGGAAGGAAGGAATATACAAAAAAACTCAAAGAATTATAACTGCAAACAATCGGGCAATGTAGGACAATAAGTAAATAAAAAGGACACCTAGACACAGGAAGCTTCTAACGAAAGCGATAGTATAATAGTCGATCAGAAATCTGTTGAAAAATCGAGCGGAGGACTGAACATGCCATGAGAACAAATAAAGCTTGGTATGTACAAACTCTTCTCATAATAATCAACCTCTTTAATACATCCAGCGGTCATAAAGCAATCCCGACTTGAAGAGTGGAAAATAGCACGAACCCGCACATTTGGCAGACTTTACGAAAGAGTTTTACGGGACCTGATACAACAAGAATTCAAGCTCTGTGAGGAGAAAGAACAGTGTTGTTTTCAAGCAAGCACATCATATACACTGTAATGTCAACTGTTTCAAGAATTTGCAGTCATATATTCAAAATATATATAGCCCGAGCACTATTTGTATGGAAAAGAAAATATCTAGCAATGGCCATCGAGCTAGTTACAATTGCAAGCAATTTGCAGCTAATCAAATATTAATTGCCAATGACGTGACTCGAAACCTACAACATGGATATCAAAATGGGGACTTCTATTTAATGTTGAAGAACCAAATACCATTGTAGCCCATATGTCAGATGTAATACCAGATTATAAAAGCATTGCACGCAAGATTTTTCTTTTTGCTGACGAACTGAAACTGTTCTCAAGAATAACCACTCAAAATGATTGTCTAGCACTCCAGGAATACCGGGATAGATTGTCGCAATGGTGCAACACCATTATATAAGCTTGGAGATTTTATTAGTTGTGCCTATTATGTAAATCGCTGTTCTGATCCACGGAACCCAACGGGCTACTAGTTCGGTGATCAGATCAGGGATTGAGGGTGCTGTTAAATTTCAATTCATCGATAAGGCAATCAATAGACTATTTCGCATGAGGTTTGTTATGCACACAGTACAAGGGATTCAAATATCAAGGCCATATATAGAACCTTTTACAATTTTATATTTGTTATCGCTCTTGTTATAATGTGTAATTAAGCTTGACCCGTTAATAAATAAATAACTAAATAAATATAACTATATAGGGAAAATTTTAGAGTACACTGAAATCGATAATAAAGACATCAGAGTTATAATTAATCAAGCTAGAAAGGTGATCGTTGACTTAGCAAAGTATTGTGGTCTAAACAAGAGTCATAAATTTGGCGACGACAGAAAAAAACAACAGGAGAGTTTACGCTGTAGAAAAGGATGTATTCAGAAGATCCTAAGGCAGGTGTATATAGCTTAGATAATAAAGGAAGAAGAAGTATAGGTGTAGAGGAACCGCTTATTCAAGATGTGAAAAGAAAACAACTTATCTCTACAACTCCGAAAAAAGCAGTGGAATGAATACCTTCTTTTAAAAGAAAACGAGGGGATCAAGGGAGACATGGGCGGAAGGTGTTAAAAAAAACGAGATCTAAGAAATAAACAATGCGACGACCGAAAGCAATGAAAACCGGACGTGTGACAACGTCGAAAGACGTTTTAAAACTGAGACCATATATGAATAAAAATCCGCTATGAGAACAAAGGGCAGGAAACCAACCATTCAAATAGCAGCTTTCCTGGGCTTTTTTATTCGGCCGTATGGCGTCGTGAGTATAGCTATCATTTTTTTCTTATAAGGAACTGGCCTGTGTTTGAGGCACTGCGGCATCTTTTGTTTTTTGAGATTGGATGCCGCAGATGTTATCTTTGTTTAAGAGTAAAGACCGAAATAATCAGATATGTTTTTTATTATGCATGAATATTGAGGACTATGCGCCCGTATAATATGCCGCTTTTTCTTCACTTTTTAAAATGTGGTCTTATAGCTTTTAGGTTTCACAACTTCCGTGACATTTCGGGTAATGATTTATTTATTTATTTGTTTAAACAACGAAGTTTTATAATACAGAGTCTTTTCAATGCTTTCGTATTTATTAAAATAAAACCGGCTTTTCAGTGTGATTGCTGACAGATAACTGATAACTCTACAGCGTACTTAAGTAGTTTTGGAGAGAGATTTTTACTTTATGTCATTATCGAGCATTTTCCAGGGTAAAGCAGCCGTTTATTTTTCGCACACCTCCGCTGCAATGCACTAATTTTCATGTTCAAGACCAATAAACTCAGATATACAGTTAATAACAATTTAAAATAAAAGTCCTCCCAAATTCGAACCCTAAAAAACGCCTGAGGTGGTTTCAAATGGCATATATCGTCTGTATCGACCCGTCAAGTAAAAAGTAGAAAAGGAAGGAAGTTCTCTGTAAATCAGAGTTTTAAGTTTTTTCAAGATAATTTATGCTGAAGAAGTCAGTCAATAAAATTAATGTTTTTGGTATCGATAGTCATCTAAAATATACAGAGTCTGCAGTTCGACTTGAGATTAATAGTTTTTCGTGTAGTAATTGTTTTTTTATGTTCCATTTTTACTGTTAATATACTTTTATTATTGTTAACTTATTTGTAAATTGTTTTTTTTTATTAAAATGCATTAATATGCAGGATGTCTCATTTAAAATAAGAAAGTTTTCACTTGTTTCTTGACAATGCAATATATTTTTTAATATTTTTTATTCTGTTAAAATAAAATTGTTTCTTTTTTACTAGTATCCTACCAGGACTACTTTGGCATACCATTTTCACCACCCAATCGCGGGTGGTACTGGACACTATGTAGTCCCTTCCTATTCCTAATTAGGTTCTATTACTTTATGACTTTCCGCAATAGAAGCAATGTCAAATTCAAAAATTTCCGCCAACCCACTTTTTTGTCTTTACAGAAGTAAATAAAGTCATTGTTATCAAAGTCTCGAGTCAAAATATTACTCACGACTTCCGGAATACCAGGGGGCGAGTCCGTCCCACGTTAACCCGTCAACACCGAGCGCGCAAAACACACTTATCGATAGAAAATATATCATGGTTAGTACATTTAACAATGCAACATCGATAAAACTGATCAGCAAGAGGAAGGCTCGTTTAAAATATACTCTTTTGACCTGCGGTCAAAGGACCGACTAAATCCCAGCAACAACGGCACTTAAACTTCGTTCTTTACCGGCACAAAAATGGGTACGCCAACGCCTTTAGGAGGAAACTAGTTGGTATCCTCATTAACATGTGAGATGGTGGTACATAAAGTCTTTTACCGCGTCCTGCAGGTCGGGCCGATTATTTTATTACTGAAAGGGTTGCGATGTCTATGAAGGTAAATTTAAAAAATTTTACGATTTGATTCAATGCACCGCGTACATTTATTATTTACAGCCAAAGCGGAACGGGAACTTTGACACGCGAGAGATTTTTTATTATCTTATTCTTAAGGGAAACTTGATATTGATCAAACAAAGGGTCCACGTTTTTCGAATATTTTCAGATTTATGGGAGATGATAATTATTACTAAAGACTGGATCATAATGCTACCTACTACCTACTACCGCTCACTATTGCGGAATTCCTTTATGCTTTCATAATGTACAAAACAAACAACTTTTTAATGTGCTGCATGCGAAGAAGTTAGTTGCCATTATACAGGGTGTCTCATGTGTATCTCACAGCGCCTTATTCGAAACAAGTTATTTCTTTTTTGGATTTCTAAGAAAATTTTATACACTTGCCACCACGTCATCCTTCAAGGTTTGCAAGCTAAGCGTGGATGGTAGAGGATACTTGCTCATGTCAGGCAGTGATGGAATGCCCACCGACGTACTATTAGCAATGAATACCACCGGAAAGATCGGCCTCGAAAATGATGACGAGCGTGTGTTGTTCTTGGAAGATGGGAAAACTCTAGAGCACATACAGTGCTGTATGTGACCCAAACCTTTATTTTAGTATATCAGTCAAAAGTGCTGAAATAAGTTTATTTAGGCTGCAGGAAATATTGTTTCATTTCTGCCATGAAACATGCAAAGCAAGAGATAGAAGGAAGGCAGTTTTATATTATTAATTGAATAAATTACGTACTACATTATTGAAATTAGTAGCAATAGATGTTTGGAATCTAAAAGTTTATTATATTTGCCAATACTTATACCTATTTTTTTTTGGTATTTTTAACAAAAACTAAAGTTTGATTTAAATTTTTTACAAGGTTTAGAACCTAAATTTACTAATTGTAGGTATATAAAACTATTGAATACTTTACCCTTTACCCTACTTTACCTCATTGTGTCAGAAGAAATGAGTAATGAACGTATAACATCTTCGTTTGTCAAAAAGCGAGAGTACCTTAGTGAATGAGACTACCTCAATCATTTAAAATCGCTATTTCTGGATTTCAACTAGACTTCCTCACCTAACTAACCTATTAGAAGGGTGATGGACCTTATAATTTCACACCCATGAATCAAACCTTTATGTATGATGGCATTTCATACCATGGATAATAGTAAATTAAAATGCTGGCAGTTTCGTGGGGGCTTTTTTAAAAATCATCTCATTAAAAAGTATATCGTTTATATACATAACTTACGTATACGTACATAACTTACAAAATGACTTCAAAATATCTAAGAATTATTCGGTTAAACCCGGTCATTTTCGACACTATTCCATGTTTTGGTCTTAGTAAAAAAATAAAATCTAAAGCAATGGCATAATGCGATAAAAAATGGGGCTCACTAGCTGCTGTCACTTGTTAAGTTTGTTTTTATACTAAATACGATACGAGTAGTATAAAGGTAATTATCTATTCACTCAATTATTCAATAATAAGAGTTTTAATTCAATAACGGTTAATTATACCAATGCAGAAAAGGCAGTTCTGCATTCTATATGCGGGCGTGCAAACGAAAATTTCTTTTTCAATTTTCAACAATTACTATAAAAATTGTCTTTTTGTTTTAGCTTAGGGTCTTGCTTATTTGTTGTTTATTTGAGTTACTTTGTTTAAATAACATGTTTTTAAACATGATATTTATTCATATTTTACACATAAATAGTTTTGGAGAAATAAACGGCATCGTCAATAAAATTCAATAATACGCTATTGCATTTATAGAGTCACCGAATGGAAAATCCAGGGGCTAATAGGGTCATTTGGATTCTTTTAAAGTAAATAAAACTAAGAACCTGCCATATTTTAGCTGTGATTAACTTTTGATTGCATACGATTGACGACGTAATTGGTTGGTCAAATTAAGAAAGATAAATTTCTGTGTTTTAAAAAGAATTTTATTTAAAATAATGTTATATCTTTTTAAAACAATTTATCTAACAAGCAGTGCAAATTAGGTATAGGGAACTCTGCTGAAACATTACATTTTCATATATTTTAAAGAGAAAGAAAAGTTCGCAGTAATAAAATAAGAAAACGACTGAAACTGTTTAAAAGACAGACGGAAACCTAACCTAATCAGCAGCGATGTATGCTGAATTGGTTAATTTAAACAGCTACTCACCTTTACATTCGTGAGCGTCCTGCGCAGTAGCCCTAGCCCACGGGGCGTCGTTATAGAACGGGAGACATTCACCACAGTCAGGGCCCGCTGTATTGTGCTCGCACTTACATACTCGCCTTCTAGTACCGCCGGGGCCTGTGGACGATACGCATTCAGAGGCGTGACCATTACATTTGCAACGCGCCCCAACAGCTACATCGGCGATGGCGTAAAAGTACGACCTCAACACCTGTTGATCGCCGAAGACTTCGTCGCCGAAAGTGTTGATGCGGTCCAAGGTCACCATGATTTCGGTGGCTGTTACCCATTCCTAAAGAGATCACGGTTATAGAGCGTTAAATGTTACCATTAATTGCATCATAAAAATTATACAGTAGTACTTAAGGACTACTTTCCTACGGACACCCCTTATTACGAATAAGGTAAATACCTCAGTAATTAGACATATTTCATCTATCATTTCTTCATTTACTTTATCTCGCTAACGTTTCTATAAACATACTGCTGGTTTATTTTTCACTCTCCTATGGAATCGTGAATGTTTTTGTGATCTCATCCCTGTTTTTCTTTCCCCAATTTCCGTTATCATACGTTCGATAAAATACACACTTCATTAGAATCACTTAATAGGCACAATTGACACTCCGTTTTCCACTTTAATATTTACATATATTCAAAATGTAACTAATAAAAACACATCAAAACTAGCTTCTCTCTATTATATAGTGGCCATTTTCTATTTCAACGGTCTACGTCTCTCGCTTGTCAGCCTCCAGAGGTTTCTGTCTGTCCAATCTTCTTCTTGAAGGCCTCTTATATTCGTTGCATCCATTATATCCTTGATCCGCTACCACGTTGCAGCACGTTCAGCTTTCAAAAATTTATTTTTTTTTTGTATTTGTATTTATTGCTAAGCGCCATTTTGAGTATTCTCCGTGTAGTTTTCTGGATAAACTATATTCTCGATGGCTGCTGAGGGTAAAATTTCTCTCGAGACAGCAAGTGTAGCGTACAGCTGCGGCAAGGACTACATCGAAAAAAGAAATCTAAAAATATTAACCAGACTTACAGAATACCAGAGATCAGTCCTTCGACAAATAACTACATCAGTTTCTGAACATTATCACGAAACAGGTGAAAAGATTTTATACTTGTAGATATAGCACACAGACAAAACACATCTTAAAAAAAAATTGTGCTTAAATATCTGTAAGACATGTTAGTTTTCCATGAGAATATGGTGGATATTGTAATTTAAGTTAATTTTATACGTTCGGTTAGTTCATCTCCAACATTATCATTACAAAGTTCGATTGATTGATTTGAAGAAAATGTTCACCCCAAATTTTTAGAACGTAATCTAAGTCAGAATTTAACAGGTTATTAACAGTACTAACTTGTCACTGTATATATGATATTTACAATACTGAAGACACAAAATTAAAACTGCCTACGCTGTATAAAAAGGGGCAAGGATACTACTCTGAAGAACTCCCACTTTAACCTGACCCAAGTCTGACGAACAATCATCCTAACACTCCTAACACCTGTCGGTCAAAAATTATGTACGATACTTCAAAGTCAATATATTTTAGAATTGCTATTAAGGTACCGTGATAGATCATATCAAATGCATAAGTATAATACAGCATAACTTGAACTCTAGCATTATTCTCATACCGTGTTTTAATAATATCAGTCGCAGCGGTAGCACAATTATCACCTGATCTGCTTATAGGGAATAATGTGATTTATATAGGGAAGAATTTGTGACTTCATTAACTTCCTCCAGAATTTTTGAAAGTACCTGCAATATTGTTAATAATTTAATATTAATAATATTTAATTTTAGGCAACGGAATAACATTTGCGAATTTACGGTTACTTAAATGAGTAATCAGAGCAAAATTTAACTTATCTACTCCAAAAGTGTTCTTCTTAATACTTACAATAATTTTGGAAACAGTTTCCTCTGGAACATTAGCAAATGAAAAAGTTTTTTCTATGAATAAATTGTTGTTATAGTTGATTATAGTATTTCCAAAATTTTCGGTTACCATAGTAGCATACGGCTAATTAGTTCCTTTGTTATTCTAACTAGGGCATAATTATCAAAAATTGTATTACTGAGAAAAGTCACTTAATCATCAATATCCCCCAGACCAAAGATATTGAACCCTGGAACATTTTCCAAATCTGTCTAAATGTGTATCTGATAAGATTAGTGAGAGCGAACCAGAAATTTAAGAACGCGCGTACTAAAAGATGGTTGGAGATCCCGACGTCTATTACACCAGAATACTCCATTTTAAATTGCAGCAACTTAAATCGATCAGAGTAGAAGTAGTATCAGAAATCCTAATGGGCGTGGAGATGACTTGATCAACGCTAAAAGCATGCAAAATATTACTGGTTCTTATAGTACGTTGTGATTTACTAGGAAGATTCAACAATCGCTTAATTTAGATCAATTTTATTACGAAAAAAATTGAATCAGATCGCTAGTCCGAACACGGTCACTACACAGTACACGCTCTTGTTCTCCCATCGCACAGTACAAGTACCGTCGGTGGCGCTGTCCCAGTAACACGAGCTAGCCGTGTGCAGACCGGCCCCTGATTTCTGCATTATGGAGCAAGTGACAACATACTTGAAGTTCTTCTTCATCTTGCTCAGCGCGTTGAGACATTGCTCCGATATGGCGGCACTCCACTGGTTCACCTTCTCTTGATGGTACACGGTTCCGGTGAGTACCGATTCGATAACCTCCTTACCGATCTTCATCACATCGTCCACAACAAACTGGTTTTCCTCCTCGTCCATTTTCTCTTCGAAATTTTGCTTGACCGGTTTCGATCTGAACGATTTTCTGGTTGACAGCCGATGTCGACGCGAGGTTGACATTATGACGGGTACTTTTGTCGACTTTTTTAAAACGGTTTTCGAGCCGCCTTTAGGCAGGGTCCGCGATCGAATGAAACGGGCCAAGGGATCACGAAATCAGTGTCAATTTATTTGATAAAGCGCACGTATTTTGCGGCCGCCTTAACACGCTAGCATTTCCATCGATTTATGCGAGACGGATAGAGGTAAGGTCCGTTTCAAGAATTTTCGTTTCTGACGGCGACCGCAGAAAACATGATTTCTCATTGTAAACGGGAAATTTTACAAGCGAAAGGTATAGTCCCGCACACGATAAATGCTCATGACTTGCCTGGACTATCATAAATGGAAGGCCCTTAATCCTCAATAAACCGAGTAATAAACCAGTAAAAGCCCGATTTACAAGCGTTACAAGGAGGTTGATTTACTTTACTAGTACCGACATCTTGGAAATTTTAAAATCATTTGAGTTTTGCCATTAGTGGCCATTACACCGAAGAAAATTTCGGCTGCGAAATGGAGGAACGAATCAAAAAGAATTTGAATATGCGCTAAAAGTTTTACAAAGGTAAGAGTTACATAATAGTTATATTTTTATAATTATTACACATACTGTTTCTAAGTATTTAAATTTTAAAAACTGTTTGAAAAGACACCACTCAATGTTTACTACAATATTCTTAAAACTTTAATATAGCAAATAAAAAACTCCGCTAATAATTTATATGTTTTAATGCAAAATTTGTCTGCGGTTCTTCCACAGATGTCAGAAGGGAAGAAAGCTGCCATTGGGAGGATAGTTGACTTAACTTGCATTCCGATGTTAGTGTTTAGGAATAGTGATGCAGAGTGGACCTGCAAGGAGGGTATGAGAGTAATCAGATTCCGTCACTTAAATCATTCCAACAGAAATGTAAAATAAAGGTCGATTTACTGGCAGATCTGAAACATTGCGCAGATTTCTGCACAAAATCGGATTAATATTTAAAAATATTGACAATCATTAAAGAGAAAAATATTTAGCTCAAATTCATCAATTTTGTGTAGAAAAACGACATATTAATTATTTAGATGAGATGCACGATTCTGTAAAAAAGAGTGACAAAATTCTTCATGGAACTACATTTCTACATATCTAGAAGAAAGAGAATATCAATTTTACTCTGCCACTCGAGGGAAGGTTGGGTAGCAAACGCTTTACTTGCTACAAAAAACATTAAAAACTGCTTTTGGACTAGCATCAAAAATTGACAAGCAGCGTAACAGTTTATGATAATGCTAGTTATGACCTCACGTTAGCTAAAAAAGTAGCAACGATCAGCAGCAAAAAAAACTATTACAAGGGTTCCTTTCTCATTATGACTTATACAAAAATAGTAGATGAAGTTTTGAAAACTAAATTGTATGAAGAAAGTTATATTGTAGACGAGATCATAAAAAATGCGGTAATATACCTTATATCCTATAGAAATAATATTAAGCGAATTAAAAAATATAGTTAGACGCAATAATGTAAATCCAAAAAGGTCCCCCCATGTAATGCAATTAAAACTAGAGACTAGTTGGAAAGAATGTGTTAATGATGTACTTGAAGTGGAAAATGATAATAAAAAACATGAGACAATGTAAAACTATTATTTATATCCTTGGATGATAGGCACAGCAGAGATCCAAACTATTCTCACGACTTATTTTATTTAATATGTATTTATTATTTATATAATTGCAAATTCCTTACTGCTACTCTGGACCGGTTTGATTGATGTCATGATCATTTATACGTAGAGTACGTGCTTCGTTCAAATTCATGAAGCGGGACTTTTGCTAAAACACCTCGCAACCGCATAGGTAAAAGCCTGCAAATTATTGCTTGCTCCTCCATATAATCAAGTCCATGTACGATATTTTTCACCTTCCTATTCATAACCTTCTCGTAAAAATTTCGTTCCAGATTTTGGTTTTCCCAACTTTACAAGTCTCTGTCAAATTTCTACACCGCTACTTAGCTCATAACAATGGCGTTTCAGCATCATAAATACAATCGGGTAATCATGAAACGGAGCTGTAGGATATCGCAGCCCATTTTGTATGTGGGAGGCAGGGATATAGGTTTGCATGATTTTATTAGCAGTCATAATTCTTGGATTTCATTGTGGTTTACACATCAAAATGATATTTGTACGACAAGTTAAGATTTTTTGTTCTTTTTGTGAACAGCCACAACCATGAAAATAGAAGACAATCATATTCAAGCATTTCCTAGTTTTATTTACTTCTTTTCTTCTTCTTATGCTGTTCTATGTTGATGACCCCTTTATACTCGGTAACTCTGAGACTTACATCAGATACAAGCTAAAAACTGTTGGAAAATACATTCAGTGGAACAAATTAGTAGTTAATATTCCAAAAACCAAAATGCTTTTTTCTTAAATAACCATCCTGCTGGAATAGTTTCATTTCGGCGAGTTTATTTTTGTTTTTCTTCGTTTTTTAGAGAAATGGTGGAATCTTCGGTAACCAGCATGTTCTATAAATCTAAACTTCCTTTCATATACAGATTATTTACAATACAGATTTTCATGGTTCTCTTGGGTATACGCTTTTTTTCACATTATAAACAAAATCTTTTTCGAAAATTACAAATTTTTACGAGTGCAAAAAATTAGAATAGGGAGATTGTAACAAAAGATTCGAGTTTTCTAATTTCTTGCTTTTGTGAGGTGAGAGCACAAGGAAGAACATCAGTAAATTTTGGTGCGCAATTTGCCAGTCGAGAATAGCTAAGCCACTATTTTATAAAGTAAATTTAAATTCCGCATGTAATTTTCAATTCTTAAGCAGCTACATCCAATGGCTTATTGAGAACCAAATGCCACAAACAGAATTGCATTATTTAATCTGCCAACAGGATGGCGCGCTTTAACATAATCGTTACCAATACTGGAATGGAGAAAACAGACAGACAGGCTTGACACCCATAGAATATTTTTTATGGGGTTCCCCAAAAGCTGACAACGAAAAATGAATTGCGGCACAGAATCTATGGAGTTATAATTTTCCTGGTGAACACCAAAAATTCTGTTATCTTATCTTAGTAAGCATACGTTAACCCTATGAATTAATAATAAAAAAATATACTTTATTGATATTAAACATTAATTACGAATATACGTATTAATAACTATGTTTGTATACAATATCCTACATTTTTCCATTATTCGCCAATTTTGGTATATCTGTAATATTTTTGAAAAAAATTGTGAAACTTATAAAAAAGTTGGCAAGCGACTGTAAATAGTAAGCAATATTTCTTAATGACCAATTAGCGGCCGTGTGGCACTTTAACAATAGAAAAAAGTTTAATTGCAAATATTTCGACATTTATAGTATGTTCGACTAGGAATCTTAATACAAAGATTCCATTTTTAAATGCAACAATATAATATTTTAAAGGTATTTTTTTTAAACAACTTTCGTCTTCCAGTCCTTTTTTTATATTATTTACAAGTTAATATAACTTAAATCATTTTGCGTTTGACACATACGAGCCCTAAAAACTAATTGTTCGGACGATGTATGAAATAATAAGAAAACATACTTATTTTAAATTGATTTTTTTGCCTTTTCGATTGAGAAATGAAATCATGCACTTATTTTTATACCAAAAAGTGCTATCGTAATGAATTATTTTTTATTTTACATAAATTACATAACAAAATATCAAAAACATACCGAATTTGCTGACAAATAAATATTCGGACGCATTTAAATCTTTTACTTTAAATCGAACATTAATAAGAAGTAACATCACCTTTCGCGGCAATAACAGCTTTCATGCGTTTTAGCATGGAATCTACCAAAGTCTTGCAACATTCGGGGGTGAAAGTGTATTCTACTTGATGGCCACGATAAAACTTTCATATTATGGTCCTCAAACCACTTTTTTGTTGTTTTCGCAGTATGGCAGGACGCACCGTCTTGTTGAAATATAAAATGTTCATTTCTAAAAGTTCGTTCTATTGATGGAATCAAACTTCTTGATAAAATTTGTTGGTATTTTTCTGCATTTACAGTACCATCAATGAACTCGTAGTTGCCAACCCCTTTACCACTTATACACCCCCATATCATAACACAATGGGGAAATTTTACCGTGCGCTTTAGACAATCTTTGTGACAGGCTTCCGATTTTGTACGAATCACCTTTTTTCGAAAATCGCCTACACACACATCAAATTTTAATTCGTCGCTAAAGAAAATCCCCACGTTACTCCACGTTTCAGTTGTCCAGGATATTTTAGATTTTGCCCAATCCAAACGTTTTTTCTTCTGAATAGACGTTAATAATGGTTTTTCCTTTGCCTTTAACAAAAGTAGATCATAGAATATTAATAAATTTTATATTGAAACAGGAAAAATTGTAAACTTACCTTCTAAAAACTCAAACCAGACTTATGCATCCATTGTCTACAACATTCCCTGAAGTTTGCCTCGTGATTCCATTGGGCTTGAATTTGTCGTAAGACGCTTTGTCTGCTAGTTTTGGAAATCTTGACCAGAATACGACGATCTCTATCAGTGATTTTACGGGATCGGCCTGAACTTTTACCACGAACGCTAACACTAGCTGTCTCTCCATACTTTTTTATAATATCCCCGACTGTTGATTTTGCAATACTGAAGTCATTTGAAATTTTTTGCATTGATTTACCTCTGCAGTACTGAGATATGATAATTTCTCGCACTTTTTTGTTTGTTGCAACACCACGCGTCATTTTCTTATCAACTATTATACAAACTTGAAAGATAGAACCCGAACTGACATCTCATTTATCTAAGTACACTACACTTTACCATCAATGCATGGGTAGCATTGATTTCTTAGTCAATAAATATTCGCGTCCGAATATTTATTTGTCAGCAAATGTGGTATGTTTCAGTTATTTTTCTATGTAATTCATGCGAAATAAAAAATAATTCATTACGATAGCACTTTCTGTGCTATCGTAATGTGCGTAAATTGATTATACAATCGACAAAGCAAAAAATAAATAAATAAATAGATATAAAAATGTCTTTTTTATCATTTTTTACATCGTCCGAACATTTAGTTGTTAGGGCTCGTACAATTATTGAATACTTGGGTTAAATAGATGCTGTAAAACTTTTATTGTAACTTATGCTTATGCTTTGAAATTTAGTGCACTCAATAAAAACGAGTAAATAAATATTTTCTGTACCTGTAGCCCGGGACTGGCGTCGAAGTTATACGCAGAAGGTCTACCCTCCAAGGTACCGAAAGCTACATTTCCACCCCGTAACGGTGAGATGTCAGAATATTCCGAAGTGCATAGGGCCCTGGTTTCTTCCCCCCTGGTGGTGTAGGTCTGATCCGGAAGGCCGTAGGTGTCACGACACGTTGCACTGCATTGAAAATGAAAATGTTATGAAAATAACAGTCGTCTTTGTTTGAAATCAGTTTTTGTGTCAATTTAGAGCAAAACTTTTTAATATAAATTGCCAATAAAAGTTTACATTTTTCAGAAAAAATATTGTGTCCGATTTTTCTTCCTAAATTTTATAGATAGACATTTCTGGATTAACCTGGTAGGTTTTAGAATATTAAGATGTCTGTGATGATGCCTAATGTTTTAGTAAGGAGAACTTTAGTATAGAAAGATTCAATGTCAAAAGTAACTACAACATTCGATTAAATTTAATATTTTTTAATTCTTGAATTGATTGAAAAGAATTAAGCAAAAAATTTGAACCTCTTCCGATGATAGGATTTCAAATTGAGGCTAGATATTTTGCCTTAAGAACATATTTTTTACCGAACTATCATTTGCTGCCTCCAATTAAGCCAAATCATGCGTATCAAACAACATTAACTAAAATAATTAAATCATCGATTTTTGTAATGTGATAATACCACTTACAGCAGCCATAATTGATTTCAATTTATCGAATTTACCAATCAAATTGATAAACACACCGAATTAAATATTTAGTAGCCTCAGGTGAATGAAATATTTTAATTACCAAGGGGTAGAGTCGGAATATACGAGAGAAACTCAATTTTTTTATTTTAGTTGTAATTAATGACTTCTTAGAACACATTTGGGTTAAAGTTACACTTAATAATAATTGGCGTTATCTATAAGCACCCCAATTTAAGCTTAGAGCAGTTCTCTAAATTTTTAGAGATCTTATCGAATTTTTACTCCGCTTTTGACATTATATGTTAAATTATAGCAGCATTTGTTTTGAAAGGTTGGAATCTGCATTGACCACTTTTAGGTTGAGACAATATATTAATAAACCAACTCGAGTTGGTTAGTTATTAAATTAAATATTAAACCATTTTTTTTTGCTGCTGCCTCTGAGGAGATTCTGGTTTATTACAAAACACTAAGAAAAATAAGCTATTAAGAGAGATTCATAAAGTATATATACATATAATATATTTAAAAAAATTGTTTAACACCCATTTTTATTTAACTCTCTATTTTGAAATATATGTTAACTTATTTGGTCCATCTGCTATATAAACAGGTCCGTACTTTGCTTAGAATTTAATTATTTGGGGTTTTGTTAGGAAAGATACTAAACAATATTTATTTATTTATGTATGTATTTATGTTTAAATCTAAAATAAAATTACAAATTATTTTTATTATCTACTTAAATTACTTAAAATTATTCACATAATATATCAGTATCACTATCGCTATCATAGCCTGTTCTAATTATTATTTGTTCTATATTATTTGCAATATGGATATACGATTGTTCTGCTTTTTCTATATGTTTAACAGAATTTCCGAAAAGATTCTATTAAAACTTGCCTTTTGTCAATTTTTTTAAATCTAAAATCCATGTGTTGAATACACTTCCATAAGGTAGTTTTACCACATTTAACACCGATTTCATCTTTTTCAAGCCTCCTAATTAAGATATCTAATGTAGGCACGCTTTGTTCCTCGTATAACTGGTAAATTTTACGCCGTATTATATCTTGATCACATTCACCTACACTCGAGAAAATGTCAGCATTTTTTCCTCGCTGAAATGAGATTATTTACAATTTTCCATACAGTTGATGTTGGAATTTTCGTCAATGTGGCCGTTTCTTCTAAAGATGCTTGCTGGCACCACATTCAATGAGAGTCAAATAAACATTGTTTCTGACTTCCTTAGTCTCAATAGAGTAGTGTTTTCTACATTTGGGCGGGAACATTTTGCATAATTCGCACACGATTCAACACACGCTGTATTACACACGAAATAAACTTAAACTTAATAAACTTAAACTAAGTAGTATACCAAACCAAAGAATATTAAACCCAGGTAGGTATAAAATTATTTTCTAATACGGACCACAATTTTACCTGAATTTAAATTCCGTAACAAAAACAAATTGGGCACTTTCTTATATCTATGAAAAGACCATACCTATAATATTGATACGGCGTCCACGATCCGTTTTCTGAATTCCTCTTCGAAATGTAGAAACTTTCCGGTCTGGGTGAATAAAACCAAATTCGAATGTAAGTAATGTCGAACGCTTTGCCTGCAACGACCAAACTGAGAAAGCTGCCGAAAAGAATGTACTACCTACCGACTTACCAAATCGGAGGGTTAGATTTACTTGATTCGGGTATTGAATCCCTTCCAGCATCGTCTCTGACTGCCACCAGGTGGGATTGTCCACATTGTGAAAGTCGGTCAAGTAGCGGGCGTGGTGCTGTCCCGGATAGCAAATTTCGCAGGACTTTCTGATACCTGTGATGCCCGTTTGAACGCAGTACTCCTGTTCACCGTTTTCACCGCATGTGTTGGTCGCGTCCATTTCCATGTTGAAAGCGGCGTTTTCAAATTCGGGGATACATCTCTGAAAAAAAAAAGGGTTTCATTGAAATATTCCATGAACAAGCCTTTCCGAAGATTTTAGAGAGCTCTAGGCAAACTTTCAAAAAGTTTCACATTGACATAGTCAATTTCAGAATGGTGTAGAGTAATAAAACATCATTAGGTATGCAAAATGACTACAGAGTAACTTATTGCCAAAATCTTTCGTTTTACCGAGTTCAATGTTTTAGTTTATTTCATTAAAAAACAAAAAAAATTTCGCCTTGCAATTTTACTAGTTGGAATTGTTAAGTTTTTAAGTATGACGTTTCGGTTTTGCGAGCCCATCATCAACTTCATTTTTTTAAATACACTCTGCATAATTTAAAGCGGCTCTTCATTATGGAAAGCTTGAGGAGCCCTAGTTATATGTTGGTCATAATGTTAACTTTTCAAACGGTAAAAATAGCAGATATTATAAATTTGGGTGTGACGGATTCTTTCTTCTTTCAACAACATTTTTGTCTCGTTTTACTAATTTTATGAATAATTTTTTTGTAGCTCTAGACAGTTGTCCAGCTCACCTACTGTCTAAACTCGGCCGTGAGTACAAAAAGTACAAGTAATTTTAATATTTCGAACATCACAAATATCTGGGAAACTGGAGATGCTACGAAAATCGTTAACTTAGGACAAAGTTTAACAATACATTCCCAAAAGGTTGAAACATAAAAACTAAAAGCTTTTGCCACATTGTCTCAGCTACACGCTGGCGTTTTACGCCCAGCCATAAATATAAAAAGAAGTACAATATCACCTTATGTTTTGTGTTTTAAAAACTTTATGTAATATTTCTTAGTCTACAAATTATTCATAAAGCATAAATCAAATCTTTTGATAAGTTTTTATTTAATGCTCAAAACGAGGTAACATTGGATAAAACAATAAAATAAAATAAAAATTGAAAATTTTAACTTTTGCTTTCCGAGATCGCAACGTTGGTGATCGAATTTAAATTACACCCTGTGTACAGACACAATAAACGTTCTCACATAATAATGGCAAAAAGTACTATATATAGATCGACGCGGTGCTTCGAATTCACAAGAATCGTGACTTCATGTGTTTCAATATTTAAACAACGTGCGAGGAACGTTTTTGCCGATATTAGGGCAAATGTTGTATAAGTTTCTTGCAAATATTTATAATGACATGAGTCGCCATTGTTGGTTGAAACGCGTACACAGAACACCATTTATCAAAAATCAGACCACAACATTAGCCAAATCCTCAGAAACTCCAATGAAATTTTGTAAACAATTGCATAGCAGATTTATAAAATGTTTAATAGAGAGCACATTGTAGTAAATAAACTAATGATAGTAGATGTAATAAAAATATACACAGTGTGCGAAATTTTTGATTTACTTATTATTATACAAAAATAAGTGTTTGAAAATCACGTCAACGGGATTCCGCTAGTTTTGTAGAGGCCTAATGATACGCATCAAAGTAAGCTAACACAACTTTGCTGCACTCCCCTTGTATTACGAATAAATTTAGAATTTCAGCAGAAGAATATGGATTATTTTGCATAATTTTAATATTAAAAACTTAGTTAAACTAGTTAACGGAATTAAAAAAAAAAACATTCTTAAAAAATGATTTTTTTCTATTGCTACATTTCTTTCAAAAGAATTTTTTCGGCTGTATAACATATTGTTTTTATTGAAGCGGGGTTTAAAAAGATGGCAGATACGTAAAGGAACAATTAGTGGAAGTTGTTAAGATCTTTATGTCGAAGTCGGAAATATAATAAAAAATTATGTGTTCCATTTGCCACTGATTTTGGATAGAACCGGGAACATTGCGCAAGTTTCATAACAATATCTCTTTTGGCTCTGATAAAACTTCTAAAGGACGGTTAACGTGGAATTATGGATAAATACTAAAATTTTCAGATATTGTGCATATCTTGAATATTCCATTAATATACAGTCCCTAAGGAAGGAGGAAGTATTAGGTCAGGGGGAGTGTTTGTAGTTTACAATACGAGAGAATTTCGGGAAGATTTTCTAAAAAAGAAAAGCGATAAATTACGGGTACCTGCTGCCATGTATTTTAGATCCACGTGCACCGAGAAGGTTTTTGACCTCTATAGTGTGCTTTGGTTGCATATTAGTCGCGGAGGTACTTACACGATGCCGATATACAGGATGTGTCCCACATAAGATCTCCGATCCGTATATTTCAAAATATATTCAATTTAGTATTATAAATATCGCTTGTAAATATTAAGTGATTAAGTTTGTCTTGAAATGAATATCTCTCTATACACTGAAAATAGTAGACAATTATATAGATAATCAATATTCTTCGAAACTAGCCATAATATATATAGTGAGTTAAAAAAGTCGTCATAGACATGTACACATGAAACGTTATAAAGTATTTAAAAACACAATCGAATTTACAAAAAATTATTTAGGGGAATGATTCTTAAATGTGCTCACAATAGTAAACAATTCGCAGATATAAAGAGTGCCTTGACGCGAAGAGAACCACTATTTGTTATTTGTCACTTATTTAAAGGGTTTTAAAATGCTGGATAGAAAATAAATATCCCCAGAACTGGTGCTATAGCTAAAATCGTCGGGTTTTCTCAAATTCTACGTAATACGAAAACTATTGCTCCCAAACTTGCGGTTCGAGTTGAAAATGCCACAGATAAAACTGTTAGTGCTGAAAGAGTGCGGAGGGTTTCGAGGGTTAATGAATTTCATGGCAAGAAGAAAACTTTTAATATTTGGGAGAAATAGACAAAAACGACTCGACTTCGTTAGACAGTATATTGACAAGGATTATGATTTTTGGAAAAGTATCTTGTTACAGATAAAAGTAAGTATTCGGATCCGATAGCAAACGAAAAATATGGCCGAAAGTAAATCAAGAAATGAAACCGGAAAACTTAGTACCCACAGTACAGCATGGAGGCGCGAATGTTATGGATCACCAGTACTTGAACATTTTGCGCGAAAATATACAGCCCTCAATTTGACAACTAGGTTTAGAAGCAGAATGGATTTTTCAAGAATACAACGATCCAAAGCATATTGCTGTTCTGCACCTCCCCAGTCTGCAGATCTAAACTCCATTGAGCATCTTTGGGAGGAGCTAGAACGAAGGTTACTAATAGAGATTCACTAAAGACTACGTTACAGTAATCTTGGGCCGAAATTACTCCAAACATAACTGGAAATTTAGGAGATAACTCTCCAGGTGTTCATAGATTTGGAAGGCGGTTCAACAAAATATTCAAAGAAAAATTAACCTTGATTTGTATGTTGCCTTAATTTAAGAATTGTACTATTAAATATATTTTTGTAAGTTCGATTATATTTTTAAAAATTATATTCTTGTGTGTTAGAGTGTCAATAAAATTAATTTTTGCCAAAAATTGGCTTCAAAATAGTGTATGACTCAACTGAATTAGTTAAATCAGGTTCAATATAAAGATCGGTGATACAGGGCCGGCTAAATTAGGAAAGTTTAAAAAAAATTATGAGTAACTTAAATTTGTCCGCAAAATGAGCACTAATTGTTTGTGAAAAACTCGAGAATATATAAAATGTTGGGTTTAATATTTTTGCGCCTATAACCCAAAATACAGCAAACATGATCTTGAAATTAGCACACTATTAGAACACTTTTTTGAAAAGAATATGATGACATAAAGGGAAACAGAATTTTTCATTATGGACCTGGAATATTCTGATATTCTTGTACATATAACGTAGTAATTTTGTTCAATTCCGGTTCGTGCAAAATTTTTCGCTTCTATTTAAAATGACTTATCATTCACGACTTCATCTTGGAGAAAACAAGAAATTATCTACTTATTAACCATTAAAAATATTGTGTTTGACACACATTTTCAGTGTTGATGAATGAATAACAATTAGGCAAATCCCATACATTGACCCAAACTCGGGTGGTACTACCTGCATTCGATAAAAAGAAGGAAATTTACAAGGAAATATTTTCCTAAAAATATTTAATAGTACGTTTAATTAACGTTCAATTAATTTATACTGGATGATCCAAGATCCAAACATATGTCGTAACTTTCTTCGTTTTACAGATAATCGGTCTCAGAATTTTAAAATAAAATATAATTTTTATTAATAACTTAAGAGCATTATGGTCGATTTTGATAAAACAATGCGCTTTTTTAGGGTAACCATAAATGTTTATTTCATTGATGTGCTAGTTGATAGGTCATCTAATTGATTAAATTATGCATTGTAATGTTATCTCAGCTTTCAACAATATTATGATGATGTTTGGTTCACCTGTTTACTGCGCACAAAATTTTAAAATGACTTATATGATAATGTAAAAGTTTCTTTAAAACCGAAAGAACTTTGAATTTATTTATTTATTTATTTTTTTGGTAAATTTTTGAGACGAAGAAACAGAGTTTCATCCGTGGGACGCCCTGTGCGTTTTCATTTACGACGGCTATGGGCTAAATATCAACAACGATCGCCAGAGATGTAACAGAATGCTTCTTTCTTCTCGGCCTGCTGATGTAATTGTGTATAAAGTCATTTAGTAGTTTTTAAAAATAGACGCGCCATCAATTTCAGAAATAAGTTTACGGCCGCGGTAAATTTTACTACTCGGAACCAATCCCTATGGGCATGCGTTCTCGAGAAATAATGATTAATCCTATTGCAAAATGCCACGATCCTGTGGCGCCGTATAACAAATTCGTACAATAAAATTCAACAATTTTGCAGAAAGGGCTCATTCACGAGACTATTTTCCGTCCTATTCCGCTCAATTTCGATGTCGACCATAGGCGTAGACAAACAAACTTTGTTGCAAATTCTCCATTATCGCTAAGTGAAAAAGTTATTATTTTAAATGTACCAGGTCGTAAAGACTTCTAGTGAAAAAATTTATGACTACAGCGGCTAAGAGAAAATGCTGGACTTTGATCTTAAGTTTCTAGAATGGCCTAAACTTTAAAACAGTGTTCATTTTAGTTTCGATAATATAAGATTATTCAATTTCATGCGCGTTTAGTTATAATTTCTTTGCAAATATATTGCCCATCACTTAGCTTTGAGGAATAAATTACACTTTAATGACAGTAATGAAAACATACTTACGGTAGGGCCTTTACAATTATATTCGTTTATTTTAGCGCAACTTTATTTTGAAAAAAAACTAGATATTACTGGCTGGTTAACCACCAAAAGTGCTCAATTTGAAGATAATTTGATAAAGAAGGAGGCTATTACATGTAAAACATTTACACAAACATGGCTTTAAGTAATACGCCGTGGTAGATATATTGCAGAAAAACAATGCTGCGTATCATTGCGAACTAAATCCTCGGCGCAAGAATGAAAAGATTTTTCTAACAAGTTACTGTTTGATCAAGCTATTCAGCAAGTGTCACCATGCGAAAAGTTGAACAAGTCATTAAAGAAGAGGAGAAAATGTGGACATCTTGATTTTGATGGGAAAGAATTTCTGTGAAATGTATGTTTTCTATAAGATCTAATAAAAAATAAGGATCACCTAATACAATGTACAGATTCTTTCCTTTTTACGAATATCCGAGCGAGACGACTGCGGTAATAGGCAAATCCCATAGCAAGAACAAAAATTGAAAGAACTAAATGTCAAACAATGAAAAAGTATTCGTTCTATGGTCAGGTCGCATATCTAATGATAGTTTATTACTCTACAACTTTCTGAAAGCTTTAATTGAAAAGTGTCCTTCAAATAGAAATATGGGACAGCCCGGAACTGGGAAGCAGGCAGCATTATTTGTAGTTCCAATGGAAAAATGCATGAAACTTCACCACCACTTCATCAACCATATTTAAAACAGATTGTTCACAGCAAACACCGTAATGTAAAAGCATTAACTCCACTTTTTAATCTAGTTTCTGCAACATTCGCTTCTCTCTTGTAAGTGGTTCTATAGTGATACATTGAATAAATAATTTGAATTTGCAAGTAGAATAAATATAAAAAGGTTGATTTCAATCCACCCATGGGTAAAAGAAATTGTTGGAAACTTTGAAGGAAATAAATTTTCGTTATGAAAACACAAAAGAGAAAATTACTTTTCATAGAGAAAGACGAAATTATTTCTTGACATGGACGATAATTTTTTACATGTCTTGTAAGACCGGTACATTGTTGACTGACCAACTACAGTCATCCATTTGAATTTTCCAAATTTAATTACGATACCTTTTTACTTTGGACAGCGTTAACGACATGGTCAACTATCTTAATAGCAACTTTTCGGTTAGGGACGAGAAAAAGCCTACTTACAATATTGTGAACTAACCAATTTGTGAACTGACTTTGACCAAATTTTTCATGAACTCCTTACATTTTGAGATAATCAATCTTTCCTTACGCAAGACTATTTTAATTAAACTTTAATTCTGTTCTAAATATTAAGCTCGTCAAGGATTTATTTTGTGTAATAGGTTATCCGTTGTTATATTTGGTGAATGCGTCTTTAAGTAACGGAAAAATCCCTGATAAACTAAAAACAAGCATCATAGTGCCCATATGTGTGCAGTGTGGCGGAAAGACATTAATGAATCAAAACTAATTCTGAGTGTTTTTGTAGATTTTAAACATACATTTGAGACTATTGACAGGGACATTCTTGTTACAAAATTAGGTTTATATGGCATTAAAGACTCTGCACTAGAATGGATAAAGAACTTTTTATCTGATAGGTCTCACCAGACTAAAATTAATAATAATGTTTGTAGTCATAGGGATAGCAGCTGGGGGGTACCGCAGGGAAGCGTGTTGGGCCCGCTTTTATTTATTATTTATATAAATGATATGCATCAGGTTTTAAAAAACTCCTTTATTAACTTATTTGCTGATGACACGCTTATTTCAGTCTCTGGAAACGATTGCAAGGAAATAGCTACCAAATTGAACACCGAAATTCAGTATTTCTACGAATGGCTGTGTCAAAATAAACTGAAATTAAATAGCTCCAAAACCAAGTGCATGGTTATCGGTTCTAAGGTTAACTGTCAAAAATTTTAGAAGTCGGGAAATTCTGTGGATATACAGGGTAATAAAATTGAGTTTTTTTCCGAAATATAAATATTTATGGGTGATCTTGGATCCACAATTATACTTTAGTAATCATGTTGAATATATATGCAAAACAATTGGTAAGAAAATAGGGTTTTTGAACCGTCTATCGCGGTTTTTATCGCAGTGGACTAGGATATTAGTGCATAATAGTATAATTTTGAATCATTTTTCATATGTTTGTTCATTGCTTATATCTTGTACAAAAGAAGATTTAAATAAGTTACAGTTACAACAAAATAGGGTTATGAGAATCATCCTGAACTGTGATAGATATACTCTTATAAAGAGTAGGTTAGACCAGCTAAATTGCCTAAATGTCGCGCAGTTCATTAGAAGAGCAAGTTTAATGTTGGTTTATGGAATTGCGCACGATCACCAACCAGGCTATCTTAAATTATGTTTGGAAAAAAATTGGTACTTTGTGCGAAGTAAAATCAAGTCTAATAGAGATAAACTGTATAACGACCTCTTGTCTATGGTGAATTTGAATGATGATTCGTGTAGAAACCTAGGACTTAAATTTGATCATATCAATCCATTTCTGCAACTGTCCGGATTTGGCAAGGCTATAGTTCGATCTAGAGAGTCTGCTGAATATCTTGCAAACAAAATCATTGCACACTCCGAAATTCACAATATCCCAAAATTGTATAATGTGTCCCACAGCACCGCTTTGTACGAGAGATCCTTCATTTACAAGTTACAAAGCCAATTGCAATTACAATTCTTTACCCCCCGACCTCAGATCAGCTCCAGATATAACGATCTTTAAAAAGAAATTAAAAAATCATATCTTGAACCGTCACAGGCTTGCACAAGATCTCTAACTTACGTAAATATTTGTTTCTCTAGAATTTTATGCGTTTTGTCCTTTCATTTAATTATTTTTATTATTACTTATTAATTAGTAGTAAGGGGTTTCTTGGCACTGGGATGGTTGCATAAGAGTGGCCTAGTTGGATACCGCTACCCATTATGTAATATTATTTGCAGCAAATAAAGATATTTTTCTACTCCCGTCTGTAAAATACCTAATTACGCACCGATCTAGCGTGCGGGAAGCGCCGCTTTCGTCAGTTTCGTTTTCCATGAATCCGAGCCACTTCGGACATTTCCGGGATTTTACAGCACGGATTTGGGAGGAATCGGATGTTTTCGGAGATATTTCCCACGCTTTGAATATGGACGTTTGTCAATTCTGACAGTCATGCCAGTGAATGTATTCGTGTGTTGACAAAATGTACCCAAAAACTAACGATCGTAGAAAAAGTGTCGTATGCAACACGTTCGGTAAACTTTTTAACTCACTCGTTTATTAAACACTCGCTGCGCTAGTGTCAAATAAACTCGTGAGTCAAATGCCGTTTACCGTACTTGTTGCATAATATACTATTTTATTTATTTATTTATTTATTTTGAATAATTATCTCATTTTAAGAAAGCGTAGTTTTACTAATCCGTTTCTAAGCAACAAATTCAGAGACACCAGCGATTTACCGTGGGTGGTCCGCTTTAGGCCGAATTTCTAGGTGAACGATGATTCTTCAATGCTAAAAGTTGTTACCTGCGGTCTGTTGAATTGGTCGTAGCATCTGGTCCCTTTGATTCCGAGGGCGGGGGTGCGCTCCACCTCGTGGCCACCTAACTGACCGCTACAAAATTCCACCATCAAAATAACAAATACGGCCTCTATTAAGTCCCACGAGTTCCACATTTTACATTAAATTTTTTATCCGACACTAAAAAATTTCACGCTAGTTTAAGAAAAAATGCGACCCCGTGAAATCGCTCGTTTATTTCATTGACGGTGAAATAGGCTTCGAGTAACCAGCCAGCCGTTGCCGCTTCCGCACAGGGACTGGCCTGCGAGCGCTATCAGCAGGTCCACATCGTAGAGTACGAAGAAGCGCGCTTTCGCTTCGGACCTCTAATCTCCGGAAACACAAATATATACAGTGCGATTGATGTTGGGCGTCCTATTAAAAGTTTGGATGGCTATTCGCTGTGTGTGTGGACTGCAGAGGCACTTAAAGTAACGAAAAAGCGAAACTAACCAGAGAGCTCAATAGCAATACAGTATAGTACACAAATACACCGAGATATTTTACAGTCAAAAGCACGTCAATAGAAAAAAATAATGTCACTATCTAAATTTAAATGAGAAAGCGTGAGGTTTGAATTTAAAGCGTCGCCCAGGCTCACCATTTTATTAAAATAAGTTAATGCTCATAATTCATGGGTTTTGCTTACGTACAGATAATTTTGAACCTCTTATGTATTTTACTGAATGAGACGTTTGTGTTAGTTTGTTTTACGTAAAGCAAAATTTAACAAATATAACGTCAATATGCCCAAAGACACAAAACAATCTCGGGAACAACTTTAATAGATTGGGCAACTTAAAGGTTATATCTTAAGTCAATAGTCTGGTGAACGAAATAATACTACAAATGATACCTACCTTGGACAACCACTCAATAAAATCCAAAAAATACCCATTTCTTCTTGAAAAAAAAAATCATTTATTGCGTTATTTTAAATAAGAAGCAAGTTCAAAAAGATCTGTTGAAAAAGGAACCACTGGAGGTTGTAAATTTCGATATACCTCTTTGTACGTAATTTGTTGTAAATGAAATCGCTTCATTGAGAATTGGTATGGGTGTAAGCAATGCATAACACCACTTTTAAAAGGAGATACGTTGACACCTTCTTGCAAGGTGGAATAATATCTCAATAATCTACTCATTTCAAGATTTATAATCTTTAGAGATTGTCGAGCTTTCATTATCTTTATTTTTTCTTTACACCACGTTTGGGGAAGATGTATCACTACCCGTTATATATGATTGTGTGCTCGGATTGGTAAATATGTTTCGATTGTGTGTTTCCTATGTTCTTCAATTCTAACGTTTAAAGGTCTTTTTGTTTCTATATGACTCTCCACATTCACAGTGTATTTGATAGATACACTCTTTCTCTTGAGTCGATGTTTCCCGTTTTCCTGGTGTCGTCCGGGGCTTAAATACAGTTTTAACTTGATAATTTTATGTCAATATATTCTTGATTGTATCCATACTGAAGCAAATCCTTTTTAATGCTGTTTAATTCCACATCGGGTGATACTCTGGCACTGTATATTGTGATTTCTCTTTTGCAGGGTGTTTGGACGATTCCTAGTTTGGTCGCTTCAGAATGGTTAGACTCGAAATTGTGTAGGTTTCCTATACATATAGGCCCTTATAGATTCATTTTTTCTACTTACTAGTACATGATAGACAGCTGTACTTTTCTTCTCTTCTCAAAAGTAAATTTACGGTCGCAAAGAATTAAGATGATTGGGAAAGGAATCTATCGGTTCCATTACATTTGTTCATTTGGACATATTGAAGCTACACCCTAGATTTAACAATTTCTCCATCTATAGCGTGAGTGTCAAACTATTCCATGTATAAATTCATTCATCATTTTGTGCGCAAAACTCGACTTGAAAGTAAGAATTACGTATTCCCTCCAGGAGTAGCGCAGTTCTGTCTAGAAGTGTATCTTTCCTCAGTCTTGCCAAACCATACCAAATTTTCTACGTCAAAGCTAGCAAACTTGTCTTATGTTTTTTTAAATATCTACCAAATGCCCGGAGTTCTTTACTATATCAATTCTATGGGGTTCAAGCGATTTCGTCGATAACAAATTTCGTACAAAGAGGTTTATTGAAATTTACAATGTTCAGTAGCTCCGTTTTCAACAGATCTTTCTGCACTTGCTTTTTATTTAAAGTAAGCCAATACATGATTTTTTTCCAAGAAGACGTGCGTATTTTGTTGGATTTTCTTGAGTAGTTGTCCATTATTTTTTTAAATAAAACGAGCGTATTATTGTTCGGAGGGCACTCATTTGTTGCAGTTTTTCTTTCTTCACCAAAGAGAAGAAAAACTGCAACAAATGAGGATGAAATGACTGCTAAAAGGTGTTTCACTTGCAAGGGCTGCCCTTAGAACAATATATGGCCCCATTTATTCTCGCTCACAGATTGGTATATTGAATGTCCAGTCACATTCAAATAGATTTTTACAATTTTTGCAACTCGAAATGTTTAATATGTAAATACAAATTTTCTCATTTTTAGAAAGCGCAGTTTTACCGTACGATTCAGTAAAAAATTCAAAAACACTAGCCATTTTTTTAATTTTAAACACCAAGACACAGGCAGGCCAACTACCTGTAAATCTACCTACCACTCTCGAGTGCCTTGACAATCATCATAGGTATAATCGACGCCCATAGAATACGGCTAAGACAACTAAGTTTTACAGTTCAATAATGACTTATAACTCTCTCGCATTATGAAACAGAGCATACAAAGTATTTATTAATAGTGACAAAAATGTCTGTTCATAGAAAGTTAAATAAAGAAGATCATTATTTGTCAAAAACAATTCGATTAAAAATAAGTTAAGGTCAGTTTGATTTTTAATAACAGCATTGTTATTGATCAATGTATTTATTAATTTGCAATTAGTTACAAACTTACACTACATTTGAATTTTTACTGTTTATGCAAACAATTATTTATTCTACACGACGAAAATAATTATTAAAATACAATTTGAATGAATAATAAAGTATAGTTCATCCCTCTCATTTTCTGGACCTTTTGTATTTGAAATAATTGGAAGCTGTAAATGCGAGGCAATGAATTCTGTGGAATTTTATTCAATATTTGATACCTTCTGAATAGCATGATTCCCCTCCAAGTGAATCCCTTCTTCTGTTGAAAATTCGTTTTTTTTGTTTCAATAAACTATGATATAACCGTTTGCACTTTTTTTTCGCATGAACGTTTTTATTTCTGGCAAATCCTTGTCAATCAAAACAATGTCAATATTCGCGAATAAATTTAACTCTAATATAAGTTAAGAATCGAATTTCCGTCCTCCAGCTACGTCAGATCTTAAGCAAATCAAATTTCCAGGAGTGATAACAATTAAAACTTTGGTCGTGAACCTATTTTTATATTGAGAGTATGTAAAAAATGATCAATCAATTACTAACTCTGGCGTTACTGTTCTCCGGAAGAACTAAATATGCAATAATTTCTTGCACAGCGTCAATATCAAGCCAAATTGTTGAAATTGTTGTTCTGTGACCACTGACCGATACATCTAGGGCTGAATATGCTAATCCAGTTTTTATTTTTATTCCAAACATCAGTCGATCTTTTTTACACACTGTGTACCTTCGTGGTATACTAATTCTTGTCAATAAAAATTCGATATCCAGTTGAATTTTTATTATCTGCTTCACGTTCTTTATTAACACACGTTCTTTGAGGGGCATCACATTTTTTATTGCCACGAAGGATTTTCATCTTCTACGATTGGCTTGTGTCTCAAGATGGCATATATCGTCTTTGACATGACGATTGCGAATAAAAGTTGGTGAATTTAAATCAGAGTGCGGATAAAAGTCAACTTGACACTCTTGATCGACTTTTAAAGAGACTATTAGTGGGTTTCCACATATCACTACCACTGATTCTGTAACATTGAACATTAAATGTTGACGCCAATTTTGCTTTCATCGGAAGATTTACCACTCGTTTATGTCTGAAAATATGAAAATTATCAATGTTCTGTCATTGGCATTTATTTAAATTTGGCAAATAATTTTTACCTGCTTTTATAAAACTTCTGGATTCCTCCTGCGTCGGTTTTTGCTTAGTAGAAATTGCTGACGTTTCGCCAATCATCCTGTCAGTTTCAGTCAAGCTCTATAGGAACCAACAAGATGATTGGCGAAACGTCAACAAGTTCGACTCAGAAAAAACCGACGCAGGAGGAATCCAGAAGTTTTGTAAAAAGCATTACAGTAGCTTGTGGAAGTTTCTTTGAAAAAAAAAAATAATAATTTTTACCTGTTTATCGTTGAGGATTGATTTACTTTTAGAGAAGAAATTATAATTTTTTATATCCAATAAAATAATCACTATAAATACAATTCGCCATAATCTATCAACGCTATGAACAAATTAAATAAAATTATAAATAGAGTTTTTATTAATATTTCGTGTTCACAAGAAAAAAAATTGATTACTAAAAGTATTTAAAACTTTTGTTTTTAATTAAAAAATATGGTTACTTTGGTATTACTTACTTTTGCTTTCCTAGTGTATCCATTGATTTAAATTTATTTTTTCTACTGGTACTTTTATAATTCACAACACAACAAACTTCATTATCAGTATCTCATTTTTGATAAGTTTATTAAAATAAATTTAAATAATAATTCGCAAATGTATTTACTTACAATTTCATTTAAAATAGCCTATTCTAGTGCTTCAACTGATAACTGGGAACGCGGGTGTCGATTTGGATTCCCCTACTATGCCTTTACAGAGCGAGTAGGCAATTACAGAACGGTATAAAGTCATAATGTCGATGTGGGCCAACAGGCAAAAAAATTGTAATTTTGATACCTATTATAAAAATTATCAAAGATCGAATAGAACAACAAACAAGAGCTGTGCAATAAATATGCAAAAAAGATTATCTTATTTGCAGGTGTCAATAACATAGATTTGGTCTTAGAACACGGAACTATTAAATGGGTGGATTTCTAAAAGTACCGGGAAGTAAAAATAACTAAAAGTGGCAGTTGTGAAGCTGAAATTAAGAATTGTATTCTACAGCGGAACATGCAAAACATCATTGACATGGAGTATTGTAAAATACAACAATTCCACCAGAAACTAAAATCAGAATTGATAAGGCGATAGTAGAGAGTATGACAAACTACGAGACCGAAGGATGAATGACAGCACATTTACAAAAGAAATTGGAGA